CTTATGGATATATGGAGAGAAATTAACCCCACGCAAAAGAACTATACCCACTACTCTGCACATTATAAAACCTACTCGAGAATTGACTATTTTTAATACAAAAAGGACATAGATATAAAATAAAGGAATGTGAAATAGGCGGGTCGGATCTATCAGATCATAATGCAATATATCTCAAAATTCATCTAAAGAACAAAATTAAAAGGAAAACTTTATGGAAAATGAAAACAGGAATACTTAATAATACAATAATGACAACACAGATCAGTAGAAATATTAAGGAATACTTGAGAGAAAATGATAACAGAGAAGTACAGCCAGATATACTGTGGGATGCGATGAAAGCAGTGATCAGAGGGAAATTAATTGCGATTACAAGCAAAATGAAAAGGGATAAGACTAAACAATATGAAAAACTTACAAAGGAACTAGAAGAAATGGAAAAGAAAGACAAACAGAAAACAGAAACAAAGACACGGGAACGAATAAAAAACATCAGGAACAAAATAAATGAAATGCACCAAAATGAAATAGAAATTAAGGCAAAATATTTAAAACAAAACTACTATGAATCAGGGCCGAAAGCAATGAGGCTACTAGCAAGAAGAATAAGAAAACAACATGAACAAAATAACATAAGTAAAATACACAACCCGAAGACAAAAAAAATTACACACAAACCTAAAGAGATTAAAGAAATATTTAGGAATATTATAAGGAACTATATACGCAACCGCTAGGAAGCAACAATAACAAAATGGAAGAATTCTTACAGAATTTAGACTTACCATCAATAGGGACAGAATAGAATAAGAATATAACAAAGACAATAACGGAAAAAGATATAATAGAAGCAATAAATAAACTTAAAACAAATAAGGCACCAGGAAGTGGCGGATACCCAGCAGAATGGTATAAAAAATTAAAGCAGGATCTTGTACCAATAATGCATAAAACATACAACTGGATTATGACCAACAATAAAATACCACCAACATGGCAAGAAGCTATCATCTCTGTAATACCTAAGCCACAGAAAAACAAAGAAGAAGCAACAAACTATAGACCGATTTCAATTCTTAATATAGACTACAAAATATATACAACAATAATAACTAATAGAATTAAAGGATTTCTTCCAGATATAATAAATGAGGATCAATGTGGCTTTGTTGTAGAGAGAAAAACGCAAGATAACATACGACGGACACTGCACATTATACAAGAAATTAATTCAAAAAGAATACCGGCAACTATAATAAGCTTTGATGCAGAAAAAGCATTTGATAGAGTAAACTGGGAATTTCTATGTGCAACATTAAAAAATTTTGGATTTAATGAACAGACAGTAAACTGTATTAAGGCCCTGTATACAGAACCAAGAGCACGAATTAAAATAAATGGAACAATAACGGACGAGATACAGATAACAAGAGGAACGAGACTGGGCTGTTGTCTCAGCCCTACTCTGTTTGCGCTATATATTGAACCTTTATCACAGGCAATTAGACAGGAGGATGAAATAAAAGGAATAGAAATTAATAATAAGGAACATACCATAAGCCTCTTTGCAGATGATATATCAATATACCTAAACAGTCTGACTAATAACCTAAGGAACCTATTGGGACTAATGAGAACGTATGGGGAACACTCAGGATATAAGATTAACATACATAAAACACAGGCATTGTTATATGATCACATACTAAAAACAGAACTGGTCAAATATAAGATTAAATGGGATAATACCCACATTAAGTACTTAGGAGTCAACATAACTAAAGACCTGAAGAATCTATTTCAACAAAATTATGAGGAATTAAATCAAACGATTAATGCAGACCTAAACAGATGGGCATCCTATCCATTACAACTATACAACAGAATAAACATTATCAAAATTAATATCTTGCCACGACTCTTATATATGTTTCAATCCCTCCCAACACAAATACCAACAATACAATTCAATAAATGGAATAAACAATTATCAAGTTTTATTTGGAAAAGCAAAAAACCAAGAATTAGAAGGTCTACCCTACAACTAGCAAAAGAACAGAGAGGGAGGGCTGTGCCAAATATATACCATTACTACCAGGCAGCACAAATAGCACCACTCATTGATTGGTGTGACCCACAAAACCTGAACCACTGGAAAATAATAGAGACAGAGAGAAAGGAAATACCAATCCAAACGTTACTGGGGGAAAATACCAGAAAAGAATACTGGACGAAAAATATTGAAAAACTGGACCCGATAACTAAGTTTAGTTTAGAAACCTGGTGGAACATAAGCAAGAAACTAAAAATAGAGGGAGAGCTAAGATTGCTAAGATGGATAGGGTGGGACTTGGACTTTGAACCTGGAAAGAGGGATAATAGATTCAAAAAATGGAATGAGACAGGAATGACAGCATTAGGAATAATTCAGAAAGAAGGGGTGATAAACAGTTTCCAAAAATTGAAAGAATGGGAATGGGAGGAGATGTGGAAAACACAAAATAGGACAACACAATCACTAAAATGGAGGGAATTTGCCTGGCAGAACCAAATACGATACTTCATCACACCGAAAATCATAAGTAAAGAGATACATGGCCCCATTCATTCTTTCCTTAACACGGATCAGTCGTCCTGTCCCCTTAGCAGAAAAACAGCCCCAAAGCATGATGTTCCCACCCCCATGCTTCACAGTAGGTATGGTGTTCTTGGGATGCAACTCAGTATTCTTCTTCCTCCAAACACGACAAGCTGAGTTTATACCAAAAAGTTCTACTTTGGTTTCATCTGACCACATGACATTCTCCCAATCCTCTGCTGTATCATCCATGTGCTCTCTGGCAAACTTCAGACGGGCCTGGACATGCACTGGCTTCAGCAGCGGAACACGTCTGGCACTGCAGGATTTGATTCCCTGCCGTTGTAGTGTGTTACTGATGGTGACCTTTGTTACTGTGGTCCCAGCTCTCTGCAGGTCATTCACCAGGTCCCCCCGTGTGGTTCTGGGATTCTTGCTCACCGTTCTCATGATCATTTTGACCCCACGGGATGAGATCTTGCATGGAGCCCCAGATCGAGGGAGATTATCAGTGGTCTTGTATGTCTTCCATTTTCTGATAATTGCTCCCACAGTTGATTTTTTCACACCAAGCTGCTTGCCTATTGTAGATTCACTCTTCCCAGTCTGGTGCAGGTCTACAATTCTTTTCCGGGTGTCCTTCGAAAGCTCTTTGGTCTTGGCCATAGTGGAGTTTGGAGTCTGACTGTTTGAGGCTGTGGACAGGTGTCTTTTACACAGATAATGAGTTCAAACAGGTGCCCTTAATACAGATAATGAGTGGAGGACAGAAAAGCTTCTTAAAGAAGATGTTACAGGTCTGTGAGAGCCAGAGATTTTCCTTGTTTGAAGTGACCAAATACTTATTTTCCACCCTGATTTACAAATAAATTCTTTAAAAATCCTGCCATGTGAATTCATGGATTTTTTTTTCACATTCTGTCTCTCACAGTTGAAGTGTACCTATGATGTAAATTACTGACCTCTGTCATCATTTTAAGTGGGAGAACTTGCACAATCGGTGGCTGACTAAATACTTTTTTGCCCCACTGTACATGTCCCTAGCTCCGGCTGTAAATCCCACGGGGAGCGCGCCTTTTTAGTTTGTGCACCGAAGCTCTGGAACTACTTGCCCCTCCTAATCAGACTCTCTTTCCCTTTTTAAGTCTCGTTTAAAAAGTCACTTTTATTCTTTGGCTTTCAATTCAGTCTAACTTATTCTCTTTCTCCTTTTTTTTCCGATGTGAATTAATCGATTTTAATGGATTTAGAGTCATGACTCCCAATCTTTCAGCTTTCATGCAGCACACCTGGTCCCCTCATCAAGCTCCAGCCAAGCCCTGTTTCCCTAGCAACCTCAGCCTGCACCTCATCTACTCCATTCTTCTCACCTGTTCCTGTCATCAGACTCATTCACCACACCTGTTCCTCCTGCTATATAAGAACCATCCAGCTACCCAGTCACCGCCAGATTATTGAACGCTTCTTGCCAGTAAATTCTCCAGCCATTACTCACCTTGCCATTGAAGATCCAGAACCCTGCTCCGTCCCCGACTTTGCCTTTTGGAATTCCCTGTCTGTTCCTCAGCATCTCTGATCTTCTGGCTCTGATTCTGCTTAGTCCCCAACCTTGCCTTTTGGATTTCCCTGTCGGACTATTCCCACCTCAGACCTCTGTTAACTCCACTCCTAATAAAGACTTTTTATTTTACTCATTGTGTTTGGCGTCATCACGGGTCTTCCGAGTTCAGTTCGTGACATTTAGTTTTTATTTTTGATTGTTTTTATTGTGTGTTTTTGTTCAGCACTTTCGTCGGCTCTCATGCCGTGTTTAAATGTGCTATACAAATAAACTTGGTATGGTATGGTATGGTATGGTATGGTATGGTATGGTAAAATTCCACATCCCAGCGTTCTTGGAGGGGAATCCAGCACACATGCACCAGTTAAAGTGTAGATCAGGGGTGGGGAACCCTGGTCCATCGAGGGCCACCATCCAGCATATTTTAGTTTCAACCCTGCTTCAACACACCTGATTTCAATCAGCAGGTGATTAACATGCAAAGCTTGATGAGCTGCTGAGCAGGTGAATCAACCACTGCATCAGAAGTGTTGGAACAAAGACATGCAGGATACCGGCCCTCGAGGACCAGGGTTCCCCACGCCTGGTGTAGATCTATGGTAAAGACTGTTACGCCCTGAAGCAGGGGTGTCAAACTCTAATTCACACGGGGCCGAAATGAAAATCTGGGACGAAGTCGGGGGCAAAACTTAATATTTTTTGAAAAAGTGATGGCAGATGTGCACACTTTCTTTATCAGCATGCAATTTTGAACCTTTAAATTTGGAAACAAACTTATTTCTGCATTAACACTGAATGTGGAATAATCAAATTACACACGAGCAAGTCAGTTTTAAATAAAACGCATCAGAGGTATTCATTACTTGTGGTATAATCAGCATTTTTAAAATCTATTCAGGATTTGTGTTTTCTTGTTTATTAATTTTTCTTATTTTTTTTTCTTTTTTTCTCCTGTAACAAGTGTCATCGCTGCTGTGACATCTAGCTTTCCCCACTAGGAACAATAAAGGGATTTTCTATTCCATTCATCTATCTGCAGCCTTTCCACTTCCTGTTTACTGTAGGTTAAATCTTTTCTCACGGGCCAACAACAAAATAAAAATATAATTTTATCTTAATGAAAATGCAACATCTCACCTGTTAACTTTCCTGTTTTAGAGCAGAAAAGGAGCATAAAACCAAAACATTTAAAGCTCAGAGTAACGTGATGAAGGAGCCATTTCTCAGGGTTATTATTCTCTAACCACTGTTCCCTTTTGACACAGCGCCAGAGTGCATGAAACAGCCTCAAGGTCATGCATTTGCTTCTAAACTGTTAACGTTCCAGCAATGAAGACAGAAGATGAAGACTCCTTTCTTTTCTTTTATTAAAAGCCAAAGAACTCTATTTTCAATAAAGCTAATCAAAACATCTGTTAGTCCATGTGACAGATTTGTGAAATCACAATTTCATTTCATTTCATTTTTTTATAAAGCCCCTTCTGTGACCAATGCAGATGCCCAAGGTGCTGAACACAACACAATAAAAACATAAAACCATCAGAATAAAATATAACAATCATGAAATCAATTAAAAGAGGAGAGTAAAAGCAAAAAATTAAATCCAGAAAAAGATTAAGAGACCGGGACATCGAAACCGGGTAAAGTTTGCTAATCCTGAAAAGCCTTGACAAAAAAATGGGTCTTAAGGCGAGTCTTAAAAAACCCCAATGAGGGTGACTGACGCACCACCAAAGGCAACTGGTTCCAAAGTGCAGGTGCCAACACAGAGAATGCACGGTCCCCTGTGACCTGCACTTAGTGCGTGGAACGATCAACAGCTTCCTGCCGGCAGAGCGAAGTGCCCGCGAGGGGGCATCCCTATGCAAAAGGTTTCCAAGATATGCTGGAGCAGTTCCATGTAAGGCCTTGTAAGCCAGTACCAAGACCTTGAATTTTGCCCTGCATTGTACAGGCAGCCAATGAAGGGATGCCAACACAGGGGTGATATGTTCCCTGCGCCTAGTGCCTGTCACAAACCTAGCGGCTGAGTTTTGAACTAACTGCAAGCGTGCTACCGCACCCTGACTAAGGCCGGCATACAGTGCATTGCAGTAGTCGAGCCTTGAAAGAACAAAAGCATGTGTGACAGTCTCTAGATGTACTCTGGACAGCAGGGGCTTAATTCTGGCTAGGCGGCGTAAGTAAAAAAAAAAGACGATCGCACAACCTGGTTGATTTGCGCGTCGAATTTAAGGGCTGAGTCCAGTTGCACTCCCAAATTTCAGATGGTGGTCTTCATGTTGGATGCTAAAGGGCCCAGATTCAAAGCATTGCATGGGCGTGTAGACATGCCAGGGCTAAGTACAATTACTTCAGTCTTAGCATCATTCAGATGTAAAAAGTTTGTAGCCATCCAGGAGCGCACATCCTCTAAGGCATCTACAAGCTTTGATATTGACCCATCGATCCCCCGCTGAAGGGGGAGGTAGATCTGACAGTCATCAGCATAAAAATGAAAACGCATGCCGAACCGCCAAAGAAGATTCCCCAACGGTAGTAAGTAGATGGCAAAAAGAAGCGGACCCAGTACAGACCCCTGTGGCACACCCCACTTGAGTCCCGCCCAGGTCGAGGAGGTTTCACCTACACTGACACAAAAACCCCTGTCGGACAATATTATGATTAATATGTTTTAATAAGTAAATGACTTATTCTAGTCACTAGACACGCTCATACACTAAGGTAAATAATCACATGACACATTGCTGTTGCTGATCCAATCAGAATCTTCCCCGTCTGAAGCATGGCGAGTCTCTGTGGTGTTTATTTAATCTGTCAGCTTTGATTCGTCCAGAATCAAAAACATCCAGATTAATAAAACAGTTCCAACGCCATTTTAAGTCAGTATTCAACAAGATCTCAAGATCCCCTGAAGTTCACCGCATGTTAAGTGGAGTATGGAAAGGCCATCTATACTTTCTTTTTAAGCTAAGAACTACTAAGCTGGGAAAAACCTGTTTTTATCAATCAACAACGGTTCTTTCAGAATAAAAGCTGAACTCGCTGACCCAAGGAGGGTCCCCTTTTTGACGCTGTGTTGTCGTGCTGTGACGCTGTTTCATCGACTTCGGTACCAGAGGAGGGTCCGTGGACCTGGCATCTGGATCTGTACAGAGGTCTCACTGAAGGGTATGTGCATGCGACAATACTGGCATCTCATGTGTTTATGACCACGGTTCAAACTTGATCAGTTAGGAGCAAAACATCATATCCCACTCAGAAATCGCTTCTCCGGACACGGAGGTTCTGAACTTGCCATCGCACCCACATACACTCCACCTCACACTTCATTCCAACAAACTTCCATCATTAGAGAGTTAGTCTTGTTAAATTATTTAAAATCATTTTAGTAATACATTTTCTTAAACTTTTGAAAGTCTCTCTCTCTTCTCTTGTCTCTCAGTTCATGCAAAGTGTTCATTTAATTTCCCTGTAATAAAAAGATCCAATCTTCTGATTTAAATAACCCAGTGTCCATTAGATGGGATTCATACCAGATATGAATCTTTAATGTCTGTGGTCATTAATTAAATTGTATTCTAATTGTAGCGTGATGAAGGGCCTCTAATTTGTGACAAAGGTCACACTTTCCCAGCTGGGTCAAGCTGGGTCAGACTGTAACTTTTAGTTCCACAGATTAACCCAGGAGCCATGATGTCTAAAGAATCATCCTTTATCTGCTGCTGTTCCGTCCCAGAAGAAGGACTCTTTGACTTTATTACTGTTTATTATAATCATCATAAATAATCACTTGGTTCAGTATAAATGTATTTTTAATTACTGAAATGAATTATTATGCTTTGGGTATAATAATGATTACTATGATTATGGTTGATAATGTGTGTTCAGTAACCAGAAGGTCAACTTCCACTTATCCATCTAATACAGAGTTTATCCAGAGTAAAGGGTAACTGCCATCACATGTTTTTTGACTCATGACCAAAGTTTTCTTGCTCTGAGAGGGCGTGTTTCCATTTAGCTTTCATCCAGCCACAGGTTTGCCTTTTAAAACAAGTTTTAATATCAAAGCTGGTAAATTGTCATCCATGAATTGTCAATTTTTATTGTGATTTTTTATTGTCATAAATTGTCCTTTCAAATTGTCAAGTTTAAAATTGTTAGTAATAAATTCTTCATTTTTAAACTTGCCTCATTCTTTGAAATGGAACACAGAAAGGTATAAATATTTCTGGTTGTTGAAAAAGCAAAGATTCCTAACTTCTGATTCAAAAATAAACTTTTGCTATTAAATTTAATTAACTTAAAATAAACATTAATATTTGGATTAAAAATAGACCAAACAGGTTGGTGTATGAACTTACATCGATTGTATAAGTATCCTGGATATTTCTACATGATATAAGCTTCATATGTTAATTTGCTTGGTCATTCTCAGAATCCGCAACTGATGGCAAACAGTGTTGATTCTAGTATGTAGAAAAACCCTACGTAATCCATTACATCAGTTTACTCCACTGATTTTCTATGATGCTCACATAGGTTTGTGCTGCTGGACATGTCTGAGCAACTTGACCACATTGTTGTGTGTCGGGGAGGAAAAATAAAAACTACAGCAGCCACAGAGTCATGCTGATTTGAGCGTGTTGCTGCTCGCTGGAGTCAGTGGCGGTTTTACCATTAGGCATAGGTCGGCGGCCGCCTGGGGCCCCCTTACGTTGGGGGGCCCCTAGCCCTGACTGGTGGCACTTCGCTGTTAATGCCACAGTGGACTTTTCCTTTAAGACAGGGGTGTCCAATCCTGGTCCTGGAGGGCCGGTGTCCTGCATGTTTTAGTTTGAACTCTGTTTCATCACACCTGATTTCAATCAGCAGCTAATTAACAGGCTTCTGTAGAGCCTGATGAGCTGCACAGGTGTTTCAACCACTGAATCAAGTCTATTGGAGTAGAAAAACAGCAAAACCTGCTGGATACCGGCCCTCCAGGACCATGATTGGACACCCCTGCTTTAAGATGTCGATGCACAAACAGGAAGTGATTGGTAGTCATTCCACTCCAATTTAGTTGGTGGCAGTAATGCACCAAATTGTTGTTTGCCAAGTGCCTTAAGACCACAAATTAGAAGAGAAGAAAACAGAAAAAGATGAAGAGAGGCGGGAGCGTTCATAACAAACTCGACGCGGTAGTCAAAACATTAAGCATGAAATGGAGTTATCCTAGTGGCTCCAATAAGAGAAAGAAGCAGCTTGCTTTAAAAAGTCGTTTATCTTCACTTCCAAAAGTGACGTTGTTTTTCTATGTAAACATCAAAAGGAAGCAGAAAGGAAAGACAATGGAAAATGTTTAAAGGGAGGAAAACATAGACCAAAATGGAAAATAGAAGAAAAAAAGAAAGAAAGGCAAAAGCACAGGAGCACTGACAATAAGAAGAAATCAGAACAAATATTGAAGGCTCTCAAAGGAATAGAAAGACAGGAAAAAAGACGAGGACTAATAAAAAGATAAAATAACTCATGTCAGAAAAGGGGAGTTTCACAAATCCAGTTAAAGATAAGATTGTCGAAATGTTAGTGTAAGGGGGCCCCATGTCTGTGTTCGCCTTGGGCCCCCAAATTGCTAAATCCGCCCCTGGCTAGAGTTTTATCAACTCTGTCTGGAAGTTAGTTGGAAAACTTTCTCTTTCAGTCGTGAACACATTATTGAGCGGTTAAAATCTCTGTTTCTGGGCTTCAAGGTCGGCAAATAGCTGAGTAAACTCGGCGCTGTGAGAGGGTGTTTTATTTCCCTAAATAACACAAGCCTGGCAGGGTTCCGCCGAGTTGTGTGGTTGCTAATGCTAACAGTTAACTTTTCCTAGCCGAGACATGCTCTGTTCTATCCTGGATGCTAAAGCATTACATGAGACCATGAATGCTAACTTGTCACTGGCTTTCTGAGCCAAACATTTTTCCATCTATGTTCGATCGGCGGCTGATGCAGGAAATAGGGGTAGAATACTATTTTCACATTTAGCCTGCATGTTAAACTCAGAGTGACCGATCATATTTCAAAATGAAAAAAGGATTCTCAGTGAACCTGGTGGTTTTTGGTAAATTGCTGATGTCGAATCAGTTGGATACTTTCAAAAAATCCTTGACTCAAATAGTTAATGTTCCAATCCAAAGCTCTTGGAGATGTTAGAAACACAAATATATACCTCAGTCGCTTTAAAACTGACTGACTAATGGCCACTGCTGTGTTTAAAATGGCCATCTTAATCCGTCAACAAACATTTGTTGTAGTTTTAATCCAATGATTAATGTCTGAAAGTTTATTAAAAACAGTCAAGTGGTTCATTTCGTATTTTTAAAACAACAGGGTTGACTCAGTTTGCACGTATTGTGTAAGTTTCAAACAACAATCTTGAGTCGATAAACCGAGTATGTGACTCTCAGCCACCGACACACCAAATTTGAGCATAGCCACATTTGCATTTCTAAAGTCTAGTAGCTATGGTGGTCATTCTGAATCAGGTAAAATTCCAAAAGTGAACTATCTGTAGATGTTTAAGACTGTTAGCTTGCTAAACTCCTGCAGAGCTAGAGGTCACTGGTAGGAGACGAAGCGTTGCAGATCACAATTGGGTTTAAATTGTTGCCTTTGTGGTCGTGACCAGGACACACGGCCAGGTGGAGGCACTTTGAGAAGGTTCCGGCACAGAAAGTGAAAAGGGGTGTCATTTTGTCTGCCTCGAGAAAAGTCACCAACCCCGCCGGGAAACTGCACAATACTCCAATCCGACCAAAATGTTTCGTAAAAGGCAGCTGGTGAGGCAACCCCCCATGCCAGGCTGTGTATTCCCCATTGAAAAACTCCACGCACCAGGAGTCGTGTCCTCTGCCCAGCCAGCAGTCCTCCGAGGTGCCTTTGCGGGGGATGGTGGGGTAGGTAACTCCAAGCTCCCAGTAAGTTTTCCCAGTCACCTCAATCTCCCAGTAATGGCGACCACAGACAAAGCCTTGCGAGCTGATGACATTGAGAGTGGTATCAAAGCGTTCAGGTAGATCAGGGAGTTGCTGCCAGGTGTCTGTGAAGGCAACTCGGTCACCGTCTCGGGAGACGAGCAACTTTGGGTGGGCTGTTTCTGGATCCAGGTTCACCTCGCTGGAATCTGGGGACAACATATTTTTTTTAAACACCAGCGCTCAACAGGCCCGAAAGGGTGGTGGTGGTGGTGGTGTGAGAACTTACAGCTCTTGAGGAGCTTTTTCATCAAAGGGGTCTGTGAGCAGACAAGCAGAAGCATGCTGTTGGTGAGGCCGAGGATCTGATTAGCCTTAGATTCATCCAGCTTCACGCTGCTCGGGTCCGACTGGTCGAGCAGATCCATCACTCTGCAGAAGAAGACCATAAACCCAGTCATCACCTGCTACATGGAACAGAACTTTATCACTAATCTGTACCTGTCCACCATGTCCATCTCATCCTGCTCAGGAAGTGAGAAGAAAGACTGAAGAACAGCAGAAAATCCAAATTACAGATTGTATTTAAGTGTTTGACATTATTTCAGAGGACTTCACCATTGTGTCCGGTTCTGTGTCTGCTTGGTTCAGAGCTAACGAGAACCTGGCGAGGTCCTGCTCTAGTTCCTGGATCAGACAGCAGTTCCTCTCCATGAGCACGTCCAAAGCCGAGACAGCAGCTCGTTCTTCCATCTCCAGATGGGACAAAGTAATCCTCAGGTCCTCCTTTAGGACGCTCTGGATCTCCTGGTACTTCTGTATGATGCTCTCTCTGATCTCCCAGGACTTTTTCTAACCAGAAACAAAACAATCTCTGTTTTAGTCATTTTATTCTTCATGTTGCAGCGAAGTCTTTGCAAAACTCACAGTGATTTCTGACTGACGAGCTGAAAGTGCCTTCAGTCTGTATTTTACTGCTTCTCTCTGCTTCTGTAAAGATCCTAGACGCTTCTCCAACGTGTCCTGAGGGGAAAGTCAACCACATTCAGCTCTTTTCAGTAACTGCAATAAGGGAATTTTGATTTGTTGAGAGAAAAACCTGCAGAAGTAGACACAAATTATAATAGAAAATGTAGAAGTGGTGCGGAAAACAGCTGACCAAAGATGCCATTTCAAACTAAAGTTAAAGTTGAACTCATCTCACACAGGAGATCGAGGTTTTACCAGAGAATCCGAGTAGGCAAAGAAAACTAGAAACTCTGACTGAACATTTATGTATTTATTAATTGTATTTATTATTATTGATGGGGTGATCATCAACTAATGAAGCCTTTCATCAGTTTTAAAACCCACACTTTTGTATCTATGACAGTGATTCCCAAACGTATTTAGCCGCGCACCCCCTTCTATGTCCCGACCATGACGACGCACCCCTCAGCCCCCACATCAGGGCATGGCTATATATATATATATATATATATATATATATATATATATGTATATATATATATATATATATATATATATATATATATGTACTGTATATATATATATGTATATATACATACACTTTGGGAGTCCCTGATCTATGAGCTGGCTTCAGACTAGTTCACCACTCTTGAATTCTGCACTCCTCTTCATGACTGATCCATCTGATTATGTAGAGCTGACCTGTAAATTATACGTTTACGTTGTATTTAGAGCAACAATCTAGGATTCATTTGCCCAGCATGGCCTCGTGTTCTGCAGGAGCCTTTAAATCAACCATCTATTCAAATTAGACAAAGAAACATGTAAAACCTGCAGGACTGTGAGTCACTATTGGTGATCCTGGAGAACCAGGAACACTCATGAATGTCCAGGTGAGGATCGGAGACTGTGTCCTTACCTTGAACCCATGAGCTGGGACTCTTTCAGTAAACCATCCATGAGTTCTTTGCAGTTTAACCCCCAATGGGATGTGATTTTACATGAAATCTCTACATTTCTTTGGTTGTAGGGTAGATTTATTTTCAATGAAGTTTTCTATTTTGATTTTAAATAAAAATGTTCTTTTTCCCCTTTAATATGCCATAATTAAAACATCTGGGACGGTCACGCACAACCTGCAGAACTAGACTGAGAGACCATTTAAAGGCTTTTGCAGGTGAGAGACTGAATTTGAGATTTTCATTAGTTGTCAGTTAGAATCCTCAAAATAAAAAGAAAAAACATTTGAAACACTGCTGCTAACCACTAAAACATTTTCCCTCTCCTGATAATAACTTTTTGCATTCCTTGACGTTGGATGTGCTAATACTAGTTTATGTGTGTGTGTGTATATATTATATATATACATATATACACATATATATACATATTACACATATATACATATAACACATTTATTATATATATATATATATATATACACACACACATATATGTGTGTGTGTATATATTATATATACATATATACACATATATATACATATAACACATTTATTATATATATATATATATATAATAAATGTGTTATATGTATATATATAATATATACACACATATATATGTGTGTGTATATATATATATATATATATATATATATATATATATATATATATATATATATATATATATAATAAATGTGTTATATGTATATATGTGTATATATGTATATATATAATATATATACACACACACATATATATGTGTGTGTATATATTATATATATATTATATTATATATATATACACATATATCTGTGTGTGTGTATATACATAATATATATACACACACACACACATATATATGTGTGTGTGTATATATATTATATATATACATATATACACATATATATATACACATATATACATATAACACATTTATTTTATATATATATATACACACACACACACACATATATATGTGTGTATATGTTATATATATACATATAACACATTTATTTTATATATATATATATATATATATATATATATATATATATATATATACATACATACATACATACAGGTAAATATATATATATATATGTATGTACATATGAGGATGCCAGTCAGACCCAAACATATTGTGAGGGTCTGCTGGGAACATCTGGCAGAGTCTCCTGTTAGAAGGAGCTTCGATTCCCACCTCGGACAGAACTTCCAAAACGTTCCAGGAGAGGCAGGGTACATTGAGACCGAATGGGCCATGTTCCGTGCCTCCATTGTTGAGACGGCTGACCAGAGCTGTGGCTGCAGAATCATTGGTGCCTGTCGTGGCGGCAACCCCCGAACCCGCTGGTGGATACCGGCGGTTAGGGATGCCGTCAAGCGGAAGAGTCCTATCAGGTCTTTTTGGCCTGTACTGAATGGAATACTTTTTATGTTACAGGATTCCCATTGGCACACTCGCTGCAGTTATTTCATCTTTTCATTACCACAAATTTATTTATATTCAAGTTATTATGAAATATAAGAGTTCTGCTGTTTGTCAAACTGTTGTCTGTAACTCCTAGAGATGGTTGTGGGTGAAAATTCCAGTAGACCAGCAGTTCCTGAATCACTCCCACAACATTCTGACTCACCAAACCTTTGTTCCGTCTACAATCGACTATTGTACTGCCCCGTATGCTGAGCTGAGTCAGCGCTCTGTCACGCCCAGCGATTAGTGCAGAACGATGCTGCTAGATTCATCTGTGACATCAAAAATAGGACTTCATAGTCCCGGTGCTAGTCTCTCTGCTATAGCTCCGTGTCCTGCACCGATTGACGGGTTTTGATGGATTTCCTCTGTACAAATAAACAGTTCCTTACTTTAAACTAATTATTAAAACAATGAAGATCAAAAGGTCTCCTGAGGAGGATCCTGGGTTCTCATCCCTGAAGACGTGAGTTTGTGATGAAAGACAAGAATAAAGAGGCAGAGGGTAACTTTGGTATAGCAGAGGGTCGTCGTGGTTCACGGTACTGTAAAGCTTTATTGGCTTAAGATTACAATACAACAAATGGCAGTGTGGGTTTTCATTTATAAAACAATACTTTCAAATACAACTGTTTCTTGGATTGGGGTTTTTTTCTGTATGGTGGTATGTGGGTAACACAGCATTAAAATATACGATTTATACCTCAAAATATGTAAAGGGAAAGTGTCTAAATGTGTGTGACAGCCTGAGAAGAGACAGTTTTCGTCTGTTCAGATGAACGTTTTATGTGCAGAAAAAAAGCCAAGAGGACCGGTGACACGTGGGTGCTCGGATGACTGAGGGGGTCAACCGACTGCTTTCCCAGGGACTTTTTTAAAAAAATCTTTGTTTTTAAGACTCACTGAGCCAATTCTTTGAACTCTTTGAGCTAAAACCACTTCAGCCCAAGCAAAAGAAGGCTAACACACAATCAAGCTTCAAGCGGGGGCATTTCAGAGCGGCGCCGCGAGGTTCTAGTTTCAAAACGTTCCACAGGAATCGACAGCAACAAAGATTAAGAGACAGGCGAGAAAGTAAAGGAAGCAGTTCCACTTAAAGCAAAGCAGGAGGTAAAGGAAGCGCGGTCAAACGAAATAACCGGGTCCTATTCTTTGTCATTTTTGAGGATGACAGATTCCCATTCATTGTTTCTTTTAACTGGAAAATAAAAGTCTCCCAGCACACAGTCAATTTCATGTCGCCCTGCATCAGTTAAACAAACTCCTAAAAAGTGGAAAAGGAATAAAGAAAAGGGCCAAAACCAGAACCTACATCTAGATTACAGTTGTTGTGTGCTATCTGGTCGTATGTACAGGAGAATGCATGCTGGAAATCAGGAAAAATAAACTTTTAGAAGAGCTTGGCCTTCTTTTTCATGTCGTTGCGTTTCCACAGGGGAAGTCTGTCAAACTCCTGGATCTCCATTCCAAAGATGTCAAAGAACGTTTCGGGTGCTAAGTGGCGCTGGAACAAAAGGTGGAGAAAACAAAAGAGGGGGTGGGGTCTCAGTTAGCAAAAACAACCAAAAGGACACTGGTTCACATTCCCAGCTACAAATGCATTTGTGTAACCGACGGTTGACACAAAAGTCTAAAATGCAACTGAGGAGGGTCGGGAGGAAGTCCGGTACCTCCAGTCTGGTTCTGTCCACATCCCTTGGCAGTTTAGCTCTCCCTCTACTGGTGATCATGAGCATTTCATAGGGATACACCTTCAGAAGGAGACATTCATCAGTGAACATGTCAAATTCACAAGCTTGCTTCAAAAAGAGTACAGACCACCGTTAAATAGAACCAAATCTATCTGGGTTTCATTTTTGAGAGGGAAGGTGGTTTTGACCACGAGGAGAGAACACCAGGTGGGAGAACAGGTATGTGACAGGAGGCTGACTGGATCGGTTCTGGGGAAATGCAATTTCTGTGCACTTTTTTTTTTCTTCAGTGTTGAAACGTGCAACAAAAGAGAAACGAGGGAAACACATGACACCCTGTAATAGGCTCTAGTTTAGTGATATTTAATGCCAACTAAAAAGAAAAAAAAACTTGCTATGTATTCATCTGTATGGGAGCGATTGTCCTGGAAATTTCAGGTGCGGTAAATTCTTAACAGAATAATCTGTGGAGGAGAGAACTGGCTAATCCAGAACACAGCAAAAGAAAGTTTGTGAAAGGCCCTCACCAACTCATATCCACACAGTATGTATATACTACATAGTATATAGTGGTATGAGTTGTGTGGATGACAGTCTGGATGTTCCACTGTATGCTGCATACAGTATCCAGTCCAATTAAAAGTCAAAGCTATGTGCAGATGAGCATGGAGAAGCCAGCATGCTAAGCGCTAAAGTGACTCGGCAGCTCCTAAAGCAGCATGCTGAATCAGGAACCTGGTCAACGCGAGTCGTTTCTTACATATATTCCCCCTCTACGGCTCGATCCGACTCCCCCACCTCCGTTCTTTAGGGGTTGTTTTTTTTAATGAGCAATGAACAATAAAATGCATTTAACAGTGTTTTTTAGCCATTCTGAAGTGAACTTCTGTGTAAAAATTCTGAATATTTACCAGCTGACCAGTTCCTGAGCAGCTTCAGTTTGGAGAAATGGAGTTTACATCCCTAAAGTCGTCATTTTAGATCCAACCGTTCACTGCCAATGACGACTAAAGTCGTCATTGGCATTTTTTTTTTACTGTTTGAGCATCAGAACGAGCCCCCGCGCTGAGAGAACAAACATCTCAGCCCTGAAGCCGATCTTCATCCACACACGTCACATGATCAGGAAGCAGACCATCCATGTATTAGGAGATCGTTTTGGGCCATTTCCTGTAAAAAAAAAAAAGTGAGGCGCGAACCAGAAAAGCTTCTGCCGATCACAATTCAACAACGGATTATGAAAGAACGGATAACGCTCGAAACACACGGATTCTTCCTGATGTAAGAGGTGAGTCTCCGCTTTGTTTTGGTTGTTTTGGCGTCGACATCATGCTAGCGCACAACGTTCTGTGACTCTTAAAAAACAGTAAAAACGGTGAGAAACGCTGGCAGCAAAGGACGTTAGCGATCAGGAAACGGCTGGTAGTGAATGAGTTAAGAATGCAAACATTATTTTATATTTTTCTTTTGTTCTGCTCAAAAAGGCCTAAATAGATATATTAGTAATATTTGAACATAAAATATATAAATTTATACAGTGCTATGAGTATCGGTTTGGTGGGCCAATCACAGCGCTGTATCGGTTTGCTGGGCCAATCACAGTGCTGTATCGGTTTGGTGGGCCAATCACAGCGCTGTATCCGTTTGCTGGGCCAATCACAGCGCTGTATCCGTTTGGTGGGCCAATCACAGCGCTGTATCCGTTTGGTGGGCCAATCACAGCGCTGTATCCGTTTGGTGGGCCAATCACAGCGCTGTATCGGTTTGCTGGCCCAATCACAGCGCTGTATCCGTTTGGTGGGCCAATCACAGCGCTGTATCGGTTTGCTGGCCCAATCACAGCGCTGTATCCGTTTGGTGGGCCAATCACAGCGCTGTATCGGTTTGCTGGCCCAATCACAGCGCTGTATCCGTTTGGTGGGCCAATCACAGCGCTGTATTCGTTTGGTGGGCCAATCACAGCGCTGTATCCGTTTGGTGGGCCAATCACAGCGCTGTATCCGTTTGGTGGGCCAATCACAGCGCTGTATCGCTTTGCTGGGCCAATCACAGCGCTGTATTGGTTTGGTGGGCCAATCACAGCGCTGTATCGGTTTGCTGGGCCAATCACAGCGCTGTATCGGTTTGCTGGGCCAATCACAGCGCTGTATCCGTTTGGTGGGCCAATCACAGCGCTGTATCGGTTTGCTGGGCCAATCACAGCGCTGTATTGGTTTGGTGGGCCAATCACAGCGCTGTATCGGTTTGCTGGGCCAATCACAGCGCTGTATCGGTTTGCTGGGCCAATCACAGCGCTGTATCGGTTTGCTGGGCCAATCACAGCGCTGTATCGGTTTGACGGGTGGGATTATGCAACAAAGTGGAACAACTAAGATGACGTTGACTCGTTTTAAATGGCTTTAGCGTCAACTTTGGACTTCTCAGACATGGGCTTTTCTTTAAGTCAAGAGCAGATAGAGACACTTAAGTTTATTTTAAAAAATTAAGTATTTGTGTCTACTTTGACGGTGTATGGTGGACTGCCCCGTTGACCGACATCCGTAGCGGTGAGTACATCACATTGTTCACGGTCCAATAGAATACGGAAACCGTTTGAAAGACAGCTGTAGACTCTGCCTCATGACTGAGTTCTCTTCATAGGTCATGGCCAGACCACGTATTCACATAGACAGGATGGCTTGCCAGGCTATGAAGGAACACATTTGGTTTGTGACTTCTTAATTATTTGACACTGTATAAGTGCCACAGAAAATACATGAAAGTGTGAAGTATTGAGATTAATGTGCTTTTTACATCATTGCAACTATGTCAAGCTTTAATCCGGACATTAATGAAAAATAAGAAGGGGGAGGAGAATGAAAGAAGAACACTGAAGTTGAATTTTACTTGAAGTGTTATTTTTACATGAAATTTTGATATGGAATACTTTTTAAATTTCATTTCCAACGGGAGTTAATGACAATAAATTGCCCCTCCTGTTTTTGGTATTTTTTAGTAATAAAGCACTTTTTTGAGACATGAGCAAAGTTATAACAGGACATTTTCGTAAAACAGATTTCTATTCTTAATAGATTTCACTTCCAGATTAAATAAAGAATAAATGTAAAGTTTATTTCCACTGTTGCTTGACTTACCCCGGTTTCACACCGGAAGCATCGGCGGCGCGAAACGGCAGCGGAACAGTTTACTCGTAAACTTCAAAGCAGTCCTTTTCACACCGGGGGAGTCTTGGCAGCGGCGCGGCTTCCTCGCTGTGCTCTTCACTGGACTTGCGAGATCACGCGATCCCTCGAGACTTCGGGTCACGATTTGTTTATGCAATCCGCCATTAAACCAAGAAGAAGGAAATCAGTTTGATATTGCTGTTTGATGCCATATATGATGATGTGTCTCTCCACTGTCAGGATTAAAACCATGAAAACACACTTCTGAAACAATGCTGTGAGTAAATAAGCCGTTGGGTCTCACGTAAGTTTCATATATATGAAATAGCATCGCTGCAGTACTTTTATTTTGAAAATTACCAGGGATTTTAAACTGAAGCAGTGTGTGATTTCCAGTCTAGCCCTATGTTAACTGCGGGAATTGACACATCCCAGAAGCGGCTCGCGGCAAAAATAGTACCTGATCCCATCTTTGGCGGCACAGCGTGCTGCTTCTGCAACACGCCTGGAAATTGCCGCGTTGCTGCTGGTTTGAAACATTCTGTAGACCATAATGGATTCTACTTGAAGCAGTGATGTTCTGCTGCCGTTCCGCGCCGCCGATGCTTTCAGTGTGAAACCGGGGTCGGCCCCCTGGGCCAGGGTACCAGTCCTTTGCTTTTCAAAATAATTGGCGACTAGTTGAGTTTGACAGGAGATGTAGGTTTTCCGCTGAAATAACTACATTTAACAAAAGTGGCATTAATGTAATTTTTATAAAACAATTTCTGAATGAGTCACTAAAACGTTTTGGAAATTGGAGCCCTTTTAAGAAAACAGGAAAATGTTGCTGCATTTGGCCTAGCCTTTAGCTCATCAATCCCTTTTAAACAATAGTCATTCAGGAAGATCTCTGCTACGTAGGTAGGTAATTATTAAGAACTTTCACACAGAAACACACTTCAGAATGGCTGAAACTGCCTTGAAACTTAGAGTATTAATCAGAGTCACTGGTACAAGAAGAAGAAGATACTTGCTTTTGATTCCAACATATTAGGCATAGATACTCCCCTGTCCATCCTTGCAAGTGCTGCACGGCCATCCTTAATGTGCTAAAGAATAGAACATACACACATGTAATACAGTGGAAGGGGGCTGCAAGGTTAATGGCATGAATATTTCCATTCATGGCAGTGGGAACAGTTTTCACTGGATGGAGCAAGTAGCTGTGCTATTCTGCCTCCTAAATATTAAAGACGGGTTGTTTTAAAACATGTTTTCTCAACGTAAAATGTGTTTTTCCCTCCTGTGTTTAATTTAAAAATGTTTAAATATGTAGCTTGACTTATCACTATGATGAACAACACACAGAACAAGACACGAGGCAGTGATCGTACACAGGTCCAGCTATTGGGCATCGCATGCCTACGCTTGAAACTGCAACATGTCATGCCCTGTAGCTGACCTCAGTCCAACAGTGATGCAAGCAGGTAGCAGGAGTGGGTGATGTGCATTCAGGCCAAGGTGTCCATTGCAATCCATGACCAAGCTTTTATGATGCAAGATGAGGGGGCATGCCATGTGAGGAAGCAGATGAGACACATACCTGAAACTCTGCAGGACAAAATGGGACAGAGAATGAGACTCACAGTTAATGGTTTGCTGTCAGGTCCCCTGCTGGGACACGATTTACAGATCTGCTTTTCCTTAATGACAATCAAAGATTTAAAAGTGCATCTGTGCTCATGTACATGTAGCAGGCAGATTCTGAGTTCCCGTGCTGAATAGCTGTGGTGAAACGGATTTGTTTAGTGGTTTTGTTTCAGCTAAAGTTCTCACCTCGGCCTCCTCCACACATGTCACCATAGCTGTTGTACTGGGTGAAATCTGTCGACTGAGGCTGCAGGAACAGAGACAACACAATGCTGTGCACTGGTTTCGGACAACATAAGGACAACGATTGAGTGATGTCCTTTTAATTGGCTTATAAAGCATGTTTTGGGCCATTTCAAAGATTTGCTCTCACCCGGTGTAGCCCATTCCGCCCGTAGCCAGGCAGAGAGTTGGTCTTGGTTGGAGATGTTTGATCTGCAATGACAATAACGTTGAAAATTGAAAGTCAGCATCAAACAGAATAGCAGATTTAGGCATTTTTATGTTCCAGACCAGGAAATAAGCACTAAAATCCAGGTGTTCTGTAGCACTGATGTCTTATTGTACATTGCTGACAACGCAAGAGGATTTCAGCTGAGGAAGCGGCTTTCAACCTGCGTCACAGTTGCTTGTTTGGGGATCGTAGCGCTGAGCAGAGAGGCTCCGTGCATGCCGTTCTCTGATCTGCTCCTTTTCCATCTCCTCCTTTAGAATTAGCTTCCCCAGACCCGACTGAATCTGTAAAAACACCGTTTTTAAACATTTATAATTAAATATCCTTAAAGATCACCTGCAGCCATTATTACCAAAGTTTTTAATATTCTGTTGAGCAATGATGGAGGTTAGTGGTCAAACCTTTGAAGTACGTGGGGATAACTGAGGTGTTACAACACTACGTGTACATTTAGGACTTCTCCAGGTCTCAGGAAAGAATGATCAGAAATCGGCTCAAATGGCCTCAAACATCAGGCCGTAGAGAAAAAACTTCAAGTTTTATTCAAAAGCTCAGACTTCTGATAAACCTGACAACAGCACCACCTGCAGGACATTTCTCTTTCAGAAACTTCTATCTGAGTTCATTTCTTCTGACTGAGCTGTTCCTGAGACCGTTCTTTCTGACAACATTTTGTCAGACGTCTGAAGGGTTTTAGAACAAAACCAGATGCTTTTTGTCTCTATGGTCTGATGTCTGACCAGGCTTGTCCATACGGGGTGCTAGGGTGCTGGCGTGCCACTCTTCCTGACACGAAAGGAAATATATATATATATATATATATATATATATATTATATATATATTATATATATATATATATATATATATATATATACTACAATGCATAAACACACTTTCACTATAAATATGTCAGTTTTGCTTAATTGTGTGTGCCTACTTTCAGTCTAAAATATTCAGTCGTGACTTCCACCAGCTGTCTCAAACAGCGAATTATCTTAAAAAGAGTTAGTAACATCACCCCTGGGGTGCTGGATAAAACGCCCCTGAGTTGCAGCTAAACAGCCAATCATCTTTGGTCGCTACGGAGAACTGGAAATTTTTTGGCCAATCATCATCACTGAATTTATTGTCTTTGAAAACAGCTAGCTAGCCTGCTAGAAGGTGCTGGATCTGCCCCCCCCCCCCTCTCTCTGACTCCCTCATTCACAACCAGTCAAAGTGAATTGACTGTATAAGTAGAGCAGAAATCATACCTACAACTGTTGCATTAAAATGTGGTTATTTATTGTCATTCTATATGATTATAATGTTTAAAACTCTATATCTGCTTCAATTCCTATCATGGCACTGCCACCAGCTGGTGTAGCGGAGTATTGCACCAGACTGAAAACGAGCTTGAAAAAAAAAAACGATGACAAAATAAATTGTGAATAAAGACAAAAATGTAAATTTTGAACAGCAGTTGCTTTAAAGGGCGTACACTGTAGGCTTGTGGATTAATTTGGTTATTATTATAGTCTACTTTCTCTGTTAATTGGATAACTGACTATAAAACTGCTGATTTGGAGAAGGGAAGTTAATGATTGTTTTGGAATTTTAGTCATTTCCCAACATTTAATTTTACTAACGAAGAAGGAAACATTTCACAAATAGCCCCACCAAGACTTTTTCCCCCAGCTCCCACTGTGTCAGACAAGGTTTTCCTAAAATCTGAAGATGTTGCAGTGCCACAGCCCAAATTTGACCTCAATATCTACAAAGGTGGCTGAGCTAAAGTCCTTTATGTCCTTGCTACAGTTAATTGGCGTTGGTGGCCATGAGGAAGTTGACTCCAAACGTGTAGACGTACATCCAGTGGTTTGCTTTGTGGTAGCTTCGTTGAAACCATTCCTCTTGTTGATGAGAAACCCAGACTCATACAGGCAAACGCATCATTGCACACCTTTCACATTTTGGCAGTGAGCAACAACAAATACACTCGTGTGAAACGTCGTCTGACTAACCTTGCTGAGGTGTTCTTCTTGAAGTTGTTTTCTTTTCAAAGCTTCTTCCTCCTCCTCTTCTCTAGATCGCCCCCTCCCCTCTGAACCTATAGGTGCTACAGACAAGAAAACTAAAGTTACACCACACGCCTAAACCCTGATACACGTGGACTGAGCACAAAACAAAACAGATGCGGTTTGGGATTAAAGATGTAAAGCATATACTCATATTTGATAATGAGCAAACAATGATGGACAGTTTGACACAAATCTGAGACAGAGTTGACGAGACAGACGCACAAAAGAACTCATTGGAGCATTTGGCTGCACAGAGACATGACAGTGGATTTACACATCATCACTGATGTCAAATACAAAGACGGGGCAGAATGTAAGACAGACAGACAAAGGTTTGAAGTCAGTCTCAGTTATCTCTGTCCAAGTCATTTGTGATACTCTCGTGTGTAGCTAGAGAAAGCAAAATGATGGCACTGGTGCTGCCGGAAGCAGAGGTAACATGGCGACAACAGAAACGCTTTGAATCAGAGTGAAATAAAACTTAGAAGGCAAATACTGAGGCGGAGTAAAGCCGGAGAGTAACTGAGCTTGTGGGGAAGCTGGAAGTTAAAAAACAAAACAAAAATAAACAGCTGGTTGGTGATGGGATGCATTTTGTTTCACCAGCAGGTAGAAGTGCAAGCACAGCCATTACTGTACCTAACACAGCCAGAGAGTGAGGCCAACAGTCACCCTCACTCAGCGAGTTGTCATCCGGAGACGGAGCATGGGCAGCGGGGAAGGTGGCGGATCTGATGATTTCATCAGCAGACTTCCTTTGATGAGCTATGGCAGCTGCATCTAGGTTGGTAACCACGGGAACTGAACTATCAGCGTCTGGGTCACAGTCTCAACCACAAGCAGACATCTTAGCGCCGTTGAATCAGCAACAATCACTTTTAGCTGGGTCATCTGTCTGTCTTTGCTAACAAGTCACTGCAAAACGGGCCGAGCCTAAAAAGCAGCCTGTTAGGATTTTAGCAGGAAGTGTCCTCAGAATTGCCTAAACAGTCAGAACTCAGGCAGGATGAGTGCGGTTTCATTTTTACTGGAGAAAGCGTCGCTTTGAAACAAGAAAAAACTTTAGGTTTAAGAACCAAAAAGGTAAGCAGTCATGAGAAAATGAAAGTCCACAGTCTCCAAGGGTGTTTCCCAATGCCAAGATTTTCCCAGGCTTCAGGACTGTTTCCAAATATCAACAAGTGTGAATTACTTCCGGTTCATTCATGCAATGAATCGGAGATAGATTCAATAAGGGTGGTAACCGAAGTGAAATATCTAGGTATAGTTATGACCAAAAACACAATAAGGAGAGAAGAAATAAACATCTTTAGTTGTATATCGAACATGAAATGTTCTCTCAGTAGATGGCTAACACGACCAGTGTTGGGAACGTTACTTTAAAAAAGCAATTAGTTATAGTTACTGATTACTTTGTCAAAAAAGTAACTCAGTTACTAACTGAGTTACAAGATCATAAAAGTAACTAATTACCAAGAAAAATAACTACTTAGTTACTTTTTTCATTAAAGCATGCAAGAATTACTACAATAGTGAAATATAAATGACTAATGACTGGAACATAATAAAATGTCCAAATGTTTTTTATAAACCTGAATAATTTCAATAAATAAGCACTTAACAGGAATAACTACTAACAGGAGTATTACACTAATCTAGACTATCAAAAGGTCACTGTGTGATATTTAACAAGACCCCAATCAGCTAACATTTAAAATTGCAAATAGAAACACCTGTAAAGGTTCCCGAGCCTTTAAATGGTCTCTCAGTCTAGTTAAATTACAGAAAGAAATGTAATTTTGCACAGTATTTTAATTTTTCCAGCTTCACATAATTGTGTGTTTTTAGCAGCATTTCTGTTGCTGGTAATCTAGTAATGGTTAAATAAATAAATAAAATCCTTTAAAATGACACTAGAAGAGGCACAAGCCTGATGGAGGACTTACATTTACTAACGTGGGTCAGACCCAACCACAGAAGAGCTGAAGCTGGGTGGTAAACACACACAGGTAGTTCTGATAACACCTGAGCACCATGACGTCTGAGACTGATGCATCAGTGTTACAGCGGGACTAAAGACATGATCAGAAACAGGTTACAGCTGGATGATCTAGGAAGGTAGAAGATCAGGACGTCTGAGCGGTGAACAGGTGAGCGGACCTTCGGGACGTCCCGCTGTCACGCTAAGAAGGTCACGGCTGCAGATCCGCACCTGCAGCAGCGAATCTGCGGGGGGTCTGCAGCCGTAGATATTCATCACGTCTTCCTCGTTCTTCACGGGCCGTGATGCGCTTGGATGAAAACATCTACCTCTTTAGCTCCTGATCAGCTGATGACAGCTTCAACACACCGCGCTGCTTAACGCACGCATGACCTTATCAGTAACAGAAACGACGTTTTGATAAAAGAAGACGTGGGCCGCTGCTTTAAAAAAAGTGAGGCGTGAACCGGAAAAGCTTCAGCCGATCACAACTCAACAACGGATTATGAAAGAACAGATAACGCTCGAAACACGCAGATTCTTCATGATGTGAGAGGTGAGTCTCCACTTTGTTTTGGTTGTTTTGGCGTCGACATCATCCTAGCGCGCCGACACCTCTCTCTCCCTGCTGCAGCTGAAGTGTGGCGGTCAGAAATCCTGTTGCTCAACGTTCGACAAGCACATAGTAACGCACAACCTTCCGTCCCCAGTAACGGTAACGGCGTTGCAACGGCGGGAAAAGTAATTAATTAGATTATTCCGTTACCTATAAAAGAACGCCGTTAGAAACGCCGTTATACTTAAACGGCGTTACTCCCAACACTGAACACGAGACCTAACTATTTTTGGAAGAGTCATTCTCTCTAAAGCAGAAGGAATCTCTAAATTAATATACCCCTGCCATTCTCTCTATATATCTCCCAGAAATATTAAGAAAGGTAGCTCCATAATTTTCCAGTTTCTCTGGAGAAACAAAACTCATTATATTAGAAGGTCCCAGTTAGCAAAGGATTACAACAAAGGTGGTGTTAAAACCTTGGATTTTGAGTCCTTAGTTGGAACCTTTAAAGTTAATTGGCTCAAAGCTTGTTTAACTCAGTCTGATTCTATGTGGTTCCATATACCCAAATCTTTATTTAAGAAACTAGGAGGATTGGAATTTTTGTTAAAATGTGATTTCCAGATCAACAAAATTCCAATGAAACTTTCAAACTTTCATAGACAAATTCTTTTGTTTTGGAAAATGGCATTTACGCACAATTTTTCTCCCCACATGTCAACATTATGGAACAACAGAGTAGTTACGGTTAACGGAAAGTCCCTTTACATTAGAAACTGGCATGAGAAAGGTATTCTGTTTATACATGACCTCATGGACTCAAATGGGAATTTCCTTGACGTTAAATCATTTACACAAAAATTTAACTTTAACTGTGGTCAAAAAGAATTCCATAAAGTTTGTAGAGCTTTCCCAGCGGCGCTACGGCTCCTAATACATAATAATATGTTATATTCTAAGGTTTCACCAACACGGCCTAATCGTAAAATAGGTGAATTCAGGCTACTGGACAGTAAATTGGGAAATAAAATCATTAATGCAAATTTTAAAGCTATTCTATATCAAGGTTTTACTGCTGGAAGGTTTTTACAAGCCCCTAATAGGGACCAATCCTTTATGGAAAAAGCCTTTTCTAAATTTGTAAAGTGGCCAGTTGCACCCAAAGTCAAAGAAACACATTTTAAAGTAATCAATAATGTTTACCCAGTTGCTGATTTTCTAGAGAGAAGGTTCAAATTTGAAAGTATGCAGTGTGCTTTTTGTGACTCAGCCTGTGAGACATTACATCATCTCTTTTTTTGGTGCCCAATATCAACTAATTTCTGGCGGCAAATATATAATTGGATTTCACTAAAAATTAATAATATTCCAAGATTTGAAGTTGATCATATTATTTTCTACATGGATAATCTGCCTCCTTTTATATCGGATATGATCAACTTAGTGATTCTCCTTGGGAAATACCATATTCACTGTAGCAAGTGGAAAAACCTATTACCCTCCTTTGCCAGATTTATGAATGACTTTAAACAATATTTTTCCTCGCTTAATCATCTAGAATCAGGCCGATTTGCTACAATTTATGACAAAATCTCATCTCTCTTGGTCTTAGACTATTAGGCTCTTATCTTCTGTGCTACAGGATTGTATTTGTATTTGCAGGAGTATTATTTGGATGTTGTGTTTGCATTAACCCCCCGTCTTGTGTCTTGATTTTTGTAATGTCCCTTTTATTTTTGCTATGTCCCTTTTGTTTTCACGTATCTATTTTATGATGTACATAGATGCTGTCATGTTATTCACTAAGCTGTTGGTTTTGGCTGTTGTATTGATGAGACTGTAATCCTCAACGAGAATATGTATCTGGTTCAATTATAAATAAAGAATTAAAAAAAAAAGTTTCCCAATGCCAAGGAACCTCACCTTGATGTCTTGGTCCCGCCCCGGTTGCCTAGGAGATACTGTATGTCATCAGGAACCGGGAAGGCATGCTCCAATGTTCATGTTCTTCCGAGGCGTCTGTTCTCCGTTTGTTAGCCGTTTAGCTTGTGAGCAAGGATTCACTGGAGGTGTCTTGTAGCCTAGCCTTGGTCAAACATTTCCCAGAATACACCGCGGTATTTTCAAAAGGATGGCGGATCAGAAGCTGGCAGCTACTTCAGGGGAAATTTCCAGTTTAACTGTAAGGCAACTAACTAATTGTAGCTATCGGGCTGATATCTGTAAAGTTTTTTTTAGATCTAAAGAAGTTAGCTACGGCGGGTTAGATGCTAGTAGTTGCAGCTTCGATGGCTAGCAGGTAACACATTACACATTTAATTTAACAAATATATACACAATTGAAAAAAGAGCTTGTTATATATTTATATTGAAACTTATATGTATAAAATACAATGTTATCTCCCACATCACGTGACTTGAAGTGACCGCCGCGGTCATGTGATGCAAGTGTGTTCCATTTAATCATTTTCTTTGACCAAGGAAGGACAGTGTCCTCGTAAGCAAGGTGCCTGACCTAGCAAGACACCGCCTTGCGAGGCCAGGCGCCTTGACATTGAGAAACACCCCAAATGTCGGTGTTTTATGTATCAGAACATGATAAAACAGATCTGTTCTTCACCAGGTTCTAAAGTTAATCAAACGTAAACTTAACCATGTTGGGTATTTTTATAATTGTACCTTTTTGAGGCCTAAAATATGCCCAATTTGTGTTATTAACACTTCATGAATCTCTGTGTCTGCCAACTGTGGCTGTTCACGAAAAGTTGAGCAGAGAAGCTCGTTTGCAGTCAAGGATGTTGATTCCAACCAAACCTCTGTAAGGATGTTTATTCCAACCAAACCTCTGTAAGGATGTTTATTCCAACCAAACCTCTGTACCTCTATAACCTGAGAAGGCCCCGCCTTCTCCTCCATCCTTTGCTGAATAAAGCCCCTGGGAAACTGAGGAGACTTGGGAGTAACGTGGGGGACAGCCTCGGAGGAGGTTCCTCTGCGTTAACTCTCCATTATTTTGGGGAGTCAGTGTAAAATGTCTTCCTTGTTGTCATGAGTGTTATTTCAGGTTCCAGGGTTATGGAGATTAAAAATTACCTAACATTTGGTGGAGGATGCGGGCATGCAGAGCTGGTGACCTGAAGGCTTTCCCCAGGAACAGAGGGGGGCTGGTTAGCTCCATGGAGGGGTTTCTGCGCCCAGCTCTCGCATGACGATTCATGGACATTACAAATAATCTCTCTCTCTCTCTGTGTGTCGTCCTTTAAGGTAATATGGGATAAATCTAAAATTACCTATCAAACCACATCCCCCCCCCCAAAAAAAAGACAAAACTGTGTGTGAACAGCTAAGCACACCTACACTACTTCACAAAGACTTACAAATCTCACTTTCGCACATACCCCCTCTCATCTGTCAACAATGGCTCTGTTCCGAGCTCTTCACCTCACAGCAGCCAATCAGAGGATGGCTGGGCATGGCCAGCAACAGCTTATTTGCAATACAGTGACAGAGCCTTCAACGGCTCATTCTGGAAGGTACTGACACGATCAACAATGGAGATGAGATGCTTTGTGTGAGATGGATTTATTGCAAAGAACTTCATGAACATGTTTAGTTTCGGCCATGGAACTGTTACAACTAGTTAAAAAAGGTGTGGTATGTCCCCGTTAAGTAGGAAACCATCACCAGGAGCTACTAATTAAATATATTGACTAACTGGTCATCATTAGTATGAGTGTCTATGAAAGCAGGAGTTTTACTGGTCTGGAACATACATGTGTGTGTTAAAATAATACTTAACGGTTTCCTGCTTCTCTGCCTCACTAGTTGAAAGCGGAACAACTCTGTTGCAGCCTGTTGTAGCTAGCGCTAACATTGAGCTAACATTAACATGAGCCAACTAATACTAAAAAACACCATGAAGTGAATGGTAAATGGCCTGCATTCCTATAGCGCGTTCTTAGGATTCTACAATCCCCCAAGGTGCTTAACCCATTCACACTCTGGTGATGAGCTACAATGTAGCCACAGCTGCCCTGGGGAGCAATGACAGAAGCAAGACTGCTGAGCACAGGTGCCACCAGTCCCTTTGACCACCACCAGCAGGCAAGGTGGGTTAAGTGTCTTGCCCAAGGACACAACAGCAGCATTCTCTGGCGGGAGATGGGATCGAACCTGCGACCTTCCAAATACTGGACAACCTGCTCTACCTCCTGAGCTACTGCTTTAAAAAGTAAAAAAATTATCCACACTGTTGGACAAAAAATATTATTATTCACAAGTCCAGTAGCAACAAAGCCAGGTCATTATCAGTCCATGATTTTGTAGCCTCCTTTAGCTTCCTCAAACTAGCGTAGGCCGCGCCGATGTTCATTCTGGTTTTAGCTGTTGCTTCGCCTCCAAAGACATTACTTTTACTTTAACCTCCAGACTTTGCCATGATGCCAACAAAAAAGCAAACCTTTGTTTCTTGTTGGGCTTTTTATTGATGGTCATTTAACTAAAAAATCTAACTGCTAGCCTTAATATCAGCTAGGAACAGAGTAAACAGCTAGCACCCGTAAAGCAGGTAGAGAGCTCTCGCTAGGGCACCCACCCACTCCACAAACGGTTAAAGCTTGGTTTATGCTTGGCGCGTCCGTGAGGTCCGCACGGCTCCGTACGGCGAAATTGCGTCATTTTAACAACCACGCCCCTCCACCGCGCCTCCGCACGGCCCAAAATTTCCGCAACGCGCACCTAGGAAATTTTCTAACCACGCAGATGGTCGGACGCGAAAAAACATGGCGGACCGGCAGGAACTAGAATGGCAGAGGTTCGTAAATACAGACATTTGTATGATTCAGCTCTCAGAGATCACCGTGATCAACATGTTGTTAATAATTCTTGGAGAGAAATAGCTCGCACTGTCGGAAAAGACGAGAACGCTGTTAAAAATGCTGAAATGCCATGTTGTATACAACAGTAATTCTTACTTCTACTATAGTGTAGTGTTGGATGCATGCTGTAGAGCTCCATGCTGCCTCCTACAGTTTGGGAGAATATTGGCTCACCGCAGAGACAAGCCGCACGAACCATAAACGTTGCAAGTTGTGAAGCGTGTTCCATCCGCGAGCCGCATCACCAAGCGGAAAGTAAATGCGTCAAGCATAAACCAAGCTTTTGTGTGGTTTCTGGTCAGCAGAGGGCTGCTGAGTGATGTCCAACGTGATGTTGAAAAGGTTTCTACCTACAAAATCACTGAAACCAACTTTTTAATGAAAAGCTGACAGTGTTTAAACTGTTTTGTGCCATTTAAAAAAAACATCTTTTATATAGCACCTCTCAGGATAAAAATTACAAGGCGCTTCACAAGAACAAAAAAATTGTAAATATAAAAATTGATTATGTATATATATATATAAAAAATATATATGTACATGTATATATATATATATATGTATGTATATATATATATATATATATATATATATATATATATATATATATATATATATATATACGTATATATACACACACACATGGAGGAAAGCCATCAACAACGACCTCTGAGGAGTATATTTTACTGATGATTAATTTGAGAAGGGTTCAACTCAAATGCTACATCTCAGGCTCTACAGGCCTTGATCAGCAGGTTAAAGGTCAAGGTTCGAGACAGGACTGTTCAAAAGAGCCTGAACGAGTCTGGCTTGTGTAGAAAGGCAGCAAGAGAAAAACTATTTTCTCAAGAAAAAAAAACACTGAAGCATAAAGTTTTATCAGAAAGAACCACAGCATTTCTGGAACAATGTCATTTGGACAAATAGGGCAGGACCAAAGTATGGACAATGTTTGGTGAAACCACAACAGCTCATACCAGCACTGTGGTGGAGGGTTGATTGTTTGGGCTCCTGGCCATAACTGAGACTACCATGACCTCCTTGTAGACTAAAGAATTCTAGAACCTAATGTGTGTCCATCTGACAACTGATTGGAACAAACTGGATCATAAAACAAGACCTTAATCCCAAAATCAGAACAACAGAATGACTACAAAAGAAAAGAAGGTGTTGCAGTGGCCCAACAGTCCAGACCTCAACCTGTGATGGGACCATGAGAGCTGTGCAGAGCCTAAAGTCTGCAAATCCAACAACTGACAGAGGGTGGACTTTCATTTTACCATGACTGTATGTTTCACAAGGACATGTCTATTTGCTACTTATGGTCCCATTACCAGAAAATAAAGGACTCATTAGCTGTGTTTCCATTAGCTGAACTTCAAGGTAAAGTCTGGGACAGGGTAACTGAACGGGAAATGTGATGTCCCAGTCCTCTCAGGTGTTGTGTCTCCATTCAAATTCAGCCCGTTCAGAACTTCATGGATGACAGCAAATCGAGACTGCTTTGGCAGTGAGTGATGTCACTGATCAGCGTCAAAAAGCATCTACATCAACATTAAAAGCATTTATTCTATCGAGGAAAATCATGATTTAATCCCTTCAGAGGCCGAGAGCAGCTGTGTGATGTAAAATGTGATCAATGACCAGAAGACGTGTTGAATTTTACCACGCTCTGTGAGACAACAAAGCCCTGTTAATTAAGTCGTGGGGGAATTTCCCCCTTTTTTCCAGTTTTGGGAGTTTAGTAACAACTGTGGGGGAATTCTGCCGTGCTTTCCAGTGTCGGGAGTTGGATTTGAAGCGCGATCTGTGCTTATTTTCTTTTGCTTCCGTTCTGCTTCAGCAGCAACTCTTCTCATTTTACTAATGTCGGTTGTTTTGGACGACGTCTGCTGATGTCATTTCCTGCTGTGTTAGCGTGAGCTAACCAAAGGTTCCGCTCAGCTACTCCACTGGGGCGTTCGGAGTTTCTACCCCTGAGCAGGTACTCAGAAGGTTACTGATAACCGTCCGGAAAGCAGCCGCTCGGTCAACGGCCGCTCGATCAGCCCGGTCAAGAGGAGACACGCACATGTCGGGAAGTTCCTGTAAATCTACCCTGAAGCCCTGGTAATGGAAACGGAGCTAATGTCACACACTCAAAGCACCTTTCTGTGACTTGTTAAGACAGACGGAGTGTAATGTCAAATCAACCAGCAGGTCCAACACAAAGAAGATTGGAGACCGACTTCAAACAGTACACTGAGGCAGGGGGTGACTATGGTCAGATGAACACATAGAGGATGGGTTCAGTAACATAGACTGACCCTCATCAGTCTCTAAACTACCGTTTTACAAACTACTGATTCCAACAAGATGGCTAGTTTATGTAGTTTTGTTTTGTTCTGTTTAAAAGATAATTGAAAGGGAACGTTTACAGCATATGTTGGAATTCAGTTTCACAAAAACCCACAAAGTTCAATATTTGGTAAATAAACTAAACTTTAACGGATCCGTGTTGCTAAAGTTAGCTTCCGATTTAGCATTATGTCTCTTTGACCAACTCCAGTTTGAAAGCATACGAAACTTTGTCTACGACCGATCACGCTGCAGGTCTTAATGCTCTTCTGATTTTCTGCTCAGATCGAATGTTTTGTGCAGTTTTGTGAATCCTGTCATGACATAAAGGCAGGACAAAACACAACACGATTCATTCAGAACTACAAACGAACGTAAACTGGGTTGGATTATAAAAAAAATTGGTCTTTAAAGTCTTTTAAACTACATGTTTATTCTGTAATCTGTGAAAGCTTCATTTGATATGTGGGAGTTTAGGAAAGAGGTATTTTAAGGAGTTATTCTTAGAGCTAGTCCAGATTAAAAACCAAATATTTGAGCCTGTTTAAATCTGGACTAAAATGTGCTTTATTAATATAAAAATGTTGATTTTAAAACACTAAAGTGGTCCTTTTAGATTTTTCACAAATAGAATTTCAGAAAAAACGAACTTCAGTAAAGATTCTGCTTTTAGTTTAGAAAAATTGAGTCCATGGTGGGACATTCTAGTTTTCAAACTGAAGCTGATCAGATGGTCCGCGTGGAAAAAACCTCTCAGCTGAACCAAAATCTGGAATCAGAAGCTAACTTCAGCCTTGAGTCGTTTCCCTGATTCTCTGCACTAATCTCACCCTTGGATCCACAGACGCCTAGAAATCTGACATTTGACTCATTCAACATTTTGACATTTTTCTTAACCAAACATGTTCTGATGTAAGGGGGGAAATACCGTGTTGCTTGTAGATGGGAGGTTTTCTGTAGATGTTGCTCCCCTGATCTGAAAACAATAATATACAGAAGCAAAAGACATTTGAGTAAAGGAGTAAACAGTAACGTGTTAAATAAACAAAAGACCAATTAAAAAAATGACAAGATTGCATGAAATGCTTCCCCATTTCCTTTTGTAGTTATCAAAAAAAAAAAAATAAAAACAGTAAAGAAAATACCTAAAAGCTCAAGGAAATGGAGTACGGTGGCAGAAAGAAACAAAAGTAAGGCGGCGCGGTGAGCAGTGACAGGGTGCGCTCCAGCTCCTACCTGGGACGTGGAAATGTTTTGGGGTCTGACAGAGAGGCGGGGTGACCGGCCGGCTGTCGGGCCTGAGCGGAAGGGGTGAGCTCCGGCCACTGGGCGGGTCAGTGCCTCCAGTGAGAAGAACCAAGAACAGAACATAAGCAGAGACACTGAAGGGGGAACCGCAGTCTGAACAGAGTAACACATAGGGACAAACAGGACAGGGGGCGGAAGTTCTGGTGGGACTCATCCAGTTTGGTTCTGAGGAATCCCGTAACAGGGAAGACCTGAAGCAGATGCTCAGGAGATGGACGGAGAACTTATAAACATGATAAAGAGTCACAGTGAGGAAAGTCACGGCTTTCATTTTATTTGTACACCTTAGAGATAATTTATTTAATGTTGGAGTGAATATTAGATTTGGTTTTCCAACTTTAAAGCTGGGGTTCGTAGCACGACGTCGTTAAAGAGAGGAGCAGAAGAATTTGAAAATCAAACAGCAATAGCTCCTGCCCCTGCTCCCCTTCAGGAAGGAGCTGAAAGCCACGCCTCACACTGACAACGTGCACACAACAAGCCTAATGAACAAGAAATGCTTTTGACATGTTCCTGCTCAAACACACCCGATTCTAACTGCTGAATTATCTCCTCAGCTTTCATCAAGTTCTGCAGGAGTTCAAGCAAAGAAACATCTAGAACCTGCACTCATGATGCTAGCACACCCCTGCTAATGCTACAACAGGCTAAAACAATAGTCCCATGTAGCATATGGTTACACGCAATGCAAATCACTTAGCTCCAAAAGACAAAAGATCACTTTTTTTCCTCCTTCCTCTCCTTTCACAGTTAGCTCAAAGTTTACAGACAGTACTGCAATGCAGCAGGTTGAGTTAGCATTTAAGCTAGTTTAGTGTGCTAAGCTAACTGTGTGTCACAGCGACAACTCTCTCTTGTGGATAGAAACACTGTCAATAGAGCCTGAATCAAGCAACTTCCATCTACTTCCAGTCCATTCATAAAAACGTCTTTGTGTTGCACATGTGAATAAATAGTCAATGTGTTTTGTTGCGGGTTTCATTCCATTTTGGCTGTTAACACAGACGAGAGCGCAATGAGCAGCGTCTTCTTCAACAGTCAAACAGCACCGAATAACTAATTAACACTTAGCATAAACATTCACATCCTTAGCTCGACCTTAATAGGAAAGTAAGTCAGTTACAACTCACTCCTTTCAAGCACACTGCATTTATAGCAGCATCAATAAGTCCTAGAACACATGGTAAAAGTTAGCTTAGCTGTTAGCAAAGGTGTCCCGCCTCAGTTGAGCCATGGATTTACCATGTGATGTCAGTAAATTTTAAAGACACATTTTGATGCCAAAAAAGGGCTCGTTTTCGAAAGGTGGCAACACTTTAGGTTTTGTGTTGTTGTATTTGGGTAAATTTGACTCCAACTGCTCATCTCACAAAAATTACCTCATCAAACCAGACAAGGAGAACATCGGTTGTGAGTTTAGTGAGCTTCACTTCCTTCTCCCAGGAGAGGGGCTAAAGGGACAAATGGCCTATTTTATATCATAGAACATTGTCAGATAGTGACTTTTACACATTTTAAGAGACTTTTTTAAAAAGTTAACTACGTACCCCAGCTTTATGGAGGACGGCTAAAACCAAACAGAAAAAGCCTGGTAGCTACTTTGGCTCAAAGTCAAAGAACCAAAACATGAATCTGGCTCGTCTCTGATGGGAAATGGGGATGGATCCAGATGAGAGGTGGCGCCAAGTGAGAATGATGATGCTTTGCCTCACACTGGGGGGTGTCGGGGGTCAGACAAAAGCAGACGGGGGCCCTTACCTTGGCTATGGGGGAGGAAGTGATGTCTGAAAGGGGAAGTGGGGCGAGAGTCACTATTTCTGGAGCCCACACTGTTACTGCACAAGGAGGAGCAGAGCTTCTGCATGCCTGTCAGAGCCTCTGCAAGGAGGGAGAGTGTGGGGAGAGGGGCACCGAGAGCAGGCAATGGAGTGGGAGATTATGGGGGAGGGATAAAGGGTAAAACAGTGAGAGGCAAAAGAAAAGGAAGATACGAGAGTCATAAACAACGAGTGAACAACTAGGTTTAAACTCTGAATCAAAAGAAACTAATAAAAACGGGTTTCAAAAGATGCAAAATTGACTTTAGGGTTGTTATTTCACAAAAGATGATGTTAAAGTTATTTAAGAAGTTCATAACCTAAAGTCAATTTTGTTGAATCTTTCGAAGTGGTTAAAAGATCAGAGGGAGGGAATTACACAGCTTTAGAGTAATGTCATCAATCCAGTTTATAGAAACGCTGAAATCATTCGGTTTGAAAATAAACACACGCGTAATGGTCCCTCCAACAGTACCCACCAGGTCTGTGGAAATGCTGCGGTGACCTTGACAGGGTGGGGGTGTAACCATGGCGATTATATACCGGTGACCCTATGGATCCCTGACTGGTGGACCTTTGGAGGATGCGGTCCCTCTTGTCGTAACAAACCTGACAGACACAGGGATCATTACTCAAAATGTAGATTTACAGTTCTGTGAAAACATATTTGCACCTTTTTTTCCCAGCAGCCCCAGACCATCACACTTCCACCATCATGTCTGACTGCTGCCATATGGGACCCTCCCATTGATGCCATTTATTAAAAGGTGTAGGTCACTCATTTAATCAATACATTTGCAGTGGTCTCTATAAGAATGGATGCCTTGTAAGTTGTACTCATTTGGGGGCGCCTCAGATTTGCTTTTTTGAGGAACTAGCAGAATGCCACATCAGAATTGAGTTTCAGACAGCAAGATCTGAAGTCTTATCTCCTCATATTCGGAAACGTGATCATATTTGGAACAATGCGACTACCACTGACTCGGTTTGCTCTGTAATGTTGATGTTTTATCTCCACAAATAACACAAGCCTGGAGGAGTTCTGCTGTGTGGTGGAGTTGTTAATGCTAATGGTTAGCTTCTACTAGCCGAGACATTATCTGCTCTTTCATGGACGCTAAACCAACAACTACATTCCCTGTCATGAGTCGCGAGTCAAGATGGGTGAGTCCATTATTGTTAAGGGACATTGTTATGTAGATCTGTCAGTATTTTCAAATCCTCAAATACATCAGAAGCTGACGCAGGAGAAAGGTGTAGGAGACTATCTTCATGCTCAGCCTGCATGAAAAACTCAAGAGTGACTAATTATAATCAGAAATAATCAAAAATAGGTTTCAGCATTTCACTCCTTCAATATTCATAATGTGCAAATATCTCACCTCGGATTGGCTAACAGCAACACTCTTCCGCTGCCTTTGTTACCAAAACTCAGAATACTTAAAATCCTATTTCACTGGGTAAAAAAAAAAATGTAACGTTGATGTTTAATCTCCACAAATAAAATGAGCCTGGACATGATACGCAGTGTTGTAGCTTCTAACAGCCAAGTTGTGTTTTGCATTCTCCTTCCTGGGGGTGGTCCCAAGCCAAGATGGGTGGAGCCATGAACACAATTTTTCCCTTTGTCATTTAGATTTATAAACGCAAAATAAGGCTGCATGAACTACCGTGTAATCTTAAAGACTGGAACCGATTTAGGAGTGCAGCAATAAACTTTGGTCTTGGCTGAATTCAGACTAGCTGTTAGCTCATCAGTCCTGAGGGATATTTACTCCATTTCTCTAAACTGAGGTCATTCAGGAAGCTCTTTACAATGGCCACAACTTTTACATAGAAACACACTTTATAACTGAAGAATGTTCACATACACTGAACAGCCGGCTCACCTCTCCTGACGGGGTCGGTGACATGTTTCTGGAAGACTGGAAAGAATCAAAGAAAGCAGAGTTACATTGCTTCACGCTGATGTTGCTCCTACATCCATTGTTGTTTTTTGTAATGTGAGTTTTTATTGCACACAGTGGCACAGCTTACTATGTCCTCGGGCAGAGGGGAACGTTCCCTTCTGATGCTGTGGAGCTGAGAGGAACAAAAAAATAAAAGATCAAATATGAAAAAGAGGAAAAATAAAGAATATTTTACTGTAGTGTGTGTTTTCACCTCTCCCACACCCTCGTGTCTCTCCTCCCTCTCATCCAGGGATGTGGTGTACATAGGTTCGTAGGTAATGAGATCGGGACGCTCAATGTCGTAAATGGCTTTGACTTTTGGAATGGCAGCTAGGTCTCTGTAATCAAGGATCTCATTGTCTACTTTTGCCTGGTGGAACATGCAAACACAGATTGTTATGATTCCATGTCACTGAGCTCTTTGTAGGAGTTAGATCAGCGTCAGGGTACGGAAGCCGAGAGACATTTCTCACATAGATGGTGTGACCCGGTGAGCCAGGTATACTTGAACCAGGTCTGGAACAAATACTCTCAGACGATGACCTCGTAGGCTAAGAAATGCAAACACAAGAGTAGCTATAAGTCAAACGAATCACCTGTCAGATAGTATATGCACCACCATCCAACTCTAGCTGCTTTCTGTATATAAATCATCACCCAAAACACCCAAAAGTACAACATTTATCCCTTAAATGCAGCGTGAGCAATTAAAGAAACACCCTGTGAGTACACTTTACGAAATACATGAAAGTACTTTGATACACAAACATGTCATATCATAATTAGGTCATTCATTTGCACATTTGCAAAGTGAATGAGCTCTGTAGCTCCGTGTTTTGATGCTGTTGAGAACCTCATGCTTGTTTATGTTCAAGGATGGCAGCAGCAGGTCTGAATGGAGCGCAGTTAGATGGATGGGTAATTTAGCACGTCTCATCAGCGCCGCCGAATCTGTGTGCATCTTTGTTTCATGCACCTGTCACATGGGTACAGTAGGGGCAGGTGGCGGCGTACAGTAAGTCGAATCCGATGCACATGGAACACAGGATGGTGATGTCAGTTCAGAGTTAATACTGAATACAGTACCTGCCTTTCTGTTTTTTGGAGGAATAAGAGGGACGGAGGCAAAAGCTGTGGAGGAAGGGAGAGGGGGGGGGGGGGGGGGTCACAGAACATCACACAGGGGTTGTGCCTCTTCTAGTTGACTCATAATTCACACACACACACACACACACACACACACACACACACACACACACACACACACACACACACACACACACACACACACACACACACACACACTCTCTCCACACAGCTTCAGCAGACAGATCACCTAAACCACAGCAGGTTAAGTCTTAACGAGTCTAAATGGGAACGATAATGGCTCGTGTTGAACTTCCTGTTAAATATTTCCAGTCTCCGTCTTGTTCCCGTGGTCAGGAAGTAGCTCGGCTCATGCGGCAATTGAGAAAAAAGAAGTGAAAGATGCACAAACTCCTACCCGCTCCCTGTGTCTCTCCTCTGTTCTGGTGGTGTTCTTGCAGCCGGGATGCCACACCGTCGACCCTGAGAACGCAAAGCCACTCTCCACTTACGCCGTTTTTATTTATGTCTCATTCTCAACTAAAGAAGAGTTATTATTGGATAAACTGCATGTGACCTGTCGCTTGCAGTTTTAATTTACCTCCTAACCGCTACTGGAGATCCTTCCTGCCAACAGCCGTTGTAATATACAACAACTCTTTGATGACTTGATTATTATTATTACTCTGAGCTACTACAGCAATCAATTTCCCTCTGGGATTAATAACATTTTTTTAATTGAATTGAAGACCCTGTGTCCACATATGTACACACTGACTTCTTGTACTTTAATATTTTATTATTTTATTATTATTTAAAGATATTGAGATATATGTTGACTTGAAGTTTTCTTTTTCTTTCTTTTATTTTTGGAAGTTTGTCAAACTTTTAGTACATTTTTTTCTCTCGTGTCGATGAGAGTTGACTAATCTGTCATGGCTAGAAGTTGTTTATAAATCACACCAAATACTAATTTAGATCTCAGGAGGTTAAATAAGATCATTTATGTTGAGATATGGTGTCGGCTAACTCCTGACTCACAACTGCAGAATAGAAGAGAAAATCTAATTCGCTTACCTTGCAGATACATCTCTTCTCCTTCTGTGAACATCTGGTTGCACCTGCTGCATCTCGCACAGCTGGGGTGGTAGTGCTTATCTCCTGCCTGGAAAACCCGGAGCACAAGACAAAAGTGGTGTCACAGCAGGATGAAGACCAGTGAAGCTGAGGTGGCACTTCCAGATGCTCCACCTGCTTCCTGCTGAGAAGAGAGTCTTTTAATAAATCCACTTGGGCTTTCTTCCACCAAGTACCTAACTTCTGAACAGAAAGAGTCTCCAAAAATGTCCATGCAGCAGTGTGCTGCTCATGTGCAAAAATGGCGGTCCGGCCAACACGCTTCAGGCATCAATGCTGTGCAGCTCTGCATAATGTAATCCCATAAAGGTATCTGGTATCTGACGGGTGGAGAGTTTAAACGTCCTTTTGCACCAATGTGGCACTTTGCATGCAGGGCGAACCGTTATGAGGCCTGTACTGCTTTAACCACAAGAGATAAACGCCCAAATGAAATGTAGGCTGCAGCATAACAACCTCCAGTGACACTGCAGCGAGCAAGCAGCCACTCGGAGATATGGAGCCTACAATTTGCATGGAGGGGGGGGGGTTAAGGAGTTTCCGACTTCAGTGCACTTTCCTCTCAGGGAAGATTCTCCTTGAGTTTATTTTTATGCTCAGATTCCTTGTAGCTTTGTTAATTATACTTAAATGAGGCCATTCAGCAGAGCAGCTGACGGTGTTTGCTCTGATTACGTTTCTGCTCCCACTGATCCACCGACTGCAGCTTTTTCCCCTTTTCCATAAAGGCCTGTATTAGTGCTGGATTACTGTCTGACAGGTAAATCCGTGCCTGACTGGATCGCCGACCGTAGCACCATCAGACTTGCTGGTGAAACAACTAAACATATGTCAAATAACTCTTTATAGAAAGGGTCAATGAAACCCAGAATTTCACGACATAAAGCACTAATAACACGGCAGGCGTGTGCAGGAAATGGGCTACAGGGGCCGCATTCACCAGGTCAAGCCACCTTTGAACCAGAAACAGCGGCAGAAGCGCCTGACCTGGGCTACAGAGAAGCAGCACTGGACTGGTGCTCAGTGGTCCAAAGTACTTTTTTCGGATGAAAGCAAATTTTGCACGTCATTCAGAAATCAAGGTGCCAGAGTCTGGAGGAAGACTGGGCAGAGGGGAATGCCAACATGCCTGAAGTCCAGTGTCAAGTACCCACAGTCAGTGATGGTCTGGGGTGCCATGTCAGCTGCTGGTGTTGGTCCACTGTGTTTTATCAAGGGCAGGGTCAATGCAGCTAGCTATCAGGAGATGTTGGAGCACTTCATGCTTCCATCTGCTGAAAAGCTTTATGGAGATGAAGATTTCATTTTTCAGCACGACCTGGCACCTTCTCGCAGTGCCAACACCACTGGTGAATGGTTTTCTGACCATGGTATTACTGTGCTCAACTGGCCTGCCAACTCTCCTGACCTGAACCCCGTAGAGAACCTGTGGGATATTGTGAAGAGAAAGTTGAGAGACGCAAGACCCAACACTCTGGATGAGCTTAAGGCCGCTATCGAAGCATCCTGGACCTCCATAACACCTCAGCAGTGCCACAGGCTGATTGCCTCCATGCCACGCCGCACTGAAGCAGTCATTTCTGCTAAAGGATTCCCGACCAAGTATTGAGTGCATAACTGAACATAATTATATGAAGGTTGACTTATTTTGTATTAAAAACACGTTTCTTTTATTGGTCGGATGAAATATGAAAATTTTTTGAGATAGGAATTTTGGGTTTTCATGAGCTGTACGCCAAAATCATCAATATTAGAAACAATAAAAGGCTTGAACTACTTCAGTTGTGTGTAATGAATCTAATATATATGAAAGTCTAATGTTTATCAGTACATTACAGACAATAATGAACTTTATCACAATATGCTAAGTTTTTGAGAAGGACCTGTATGTATATATATATATATATATATATATATATATATATATATATATATATATATATATATATATATATATACACATATATATATATATATATATATATATATATATGTATATATATATATATATATATATATATATATATATATATATGTGTATATATATATATATATATATATATATATATATACATATATATATACACACACATATATATGTATATATATAGATATATATGTGTGTATATATATATACACATATATATATATATATATATATATATACACATATATATATATATATACATATATCTATCTATATATATATATATATATATATATATATATATATGTATACATATATATATATATATATATATATGTATACATATATATATATATATATGTATACATATATATATATATGTGTATATATATATATATATATATATATATATATATATATACACACACACACACACACACATACATATATACAGTTAATTATACTGAAAAGCTTGATTGTGCTGTGAGATGTGCAGTGAAGAGGTGAGGGTTAGGGTGTGTGCAAAATGTTTGAACTGACTGTAATTTTTATGTGCGAAAGCCGAGTTTCTAATCCATTTACTTTATTTTTTTATATGTAAAGCCCTTTGGGCTGCTTTTGTCGTGAAAGGTGCTCTACAAATTAAATTTATTTTGATATGATTTAATAACCACCAAGCATCAGACGATAATAGAGGGTGTTTTATGTAATAATTATATAATTTGTGAAAGCTCATGTGTACGTAGACGCTACTGTAATGACCAGAAATATCTGCAAAGAACTCGTATTTTGGATGATTACAGTCATGTCTAGAATCTTCTTGGCACGGCGCTGATGAGATTATGTCAGATTATAAAAGTACACGTTAAAGTTCAGGGCCTCGTTTATCAAGCTAGCTTACGCACAAAACGGGGTCGGAAAACTGCGTAAGCAACTTTCCACACAAACTTTGGGATTTATGAAAGAGAACTTAGCGGGAAAATGTGTGTAACTTTAAGCTGACTAAGGACCTGGCTTACACACATGTTGGACATGGAGAGCACCTGCAGTGCTGCTGCTGAGCAGGTACAATTATGAAATCCTTCAGCATTATCACTTGTACCGCTTCGTTTTCTCACAGAACAAGACCCCCCACATGCATACACGCGCGCACACACACACACGCGCACACACACACAGCCTGAAGCGCAGAATACGTAATGCAGAATATCAGCAGGGGGACAGATTGAGACAGAATGTCATGCGTCTGTGACAGTGTGTGTCCTGTCACTGTGACCCGATTGATCATGCGCCCTGGCTACTTGTACACGGGAGATCTCTGTTTGGGTGACTGGTCAGCGCGCGTGACTTTCACCCGGGAGTCTGGGGATCAAATCCTGATTGGATCATTTTTTTTATATCCGCCACAGATCTCTCTGAAGAACTCAGCATTGACGGCTTCAGCAACGCTGCGCCACTCCGTGGATTTTCTCTAATTTGTTTTGCAAAAGCACTTCCTTTCATTTCTCCACCTCACCCACAAGTACCTCAACTTCTGCTTCTGTGAAATTGCGCTTCCTCTATCTGCCTTGATCTGCAGTTGTGTTCGAAATGCTGCAACAGCCGGCTTATGTATATGCATGAGATCCACAAGGCACGTTGCATTGACCATTTATGGCAGTAAGTGGGCGTGGTGAGGGCGGGATGTGACTAAAAAGCAGCTGAGAAACATTCTCGTTAATCTCCGATGTATGAAGCGGAGATTGCGTACAGCTGTGTGTACTCCATGTTTGATAGATCACACACCTGCTTAAGTCCATTTTTTTTGCTGAGCTTAAGTACGGTTTCAGTAAGGATTCTATGCAATGTTTGATAAATGAGATCCCTGCTCCACACGTCACAGGAAGCATTGGACTGAACAGCAGTACGTCAAAAATGAATACAAGCTACTTTAACAGTTTTAAATCATTTTTTTTTTAACATTTTTCTTAAAGTCACAAACACATCATCAAATCTCGGAGCTTAGATGAGATGTCTCCTCATCCTGCTTTTATTTTGGTAGACCTTTATTTCATTTTACCATAATCTGAATTTTCTTTTTAGCTAAAAATTCAGTAATAATATCTAGATTTAGATTAAACTCTGTATTAATAAAAAAATGTGGATGCTATTGAATGTAATTATAAATATTTAAATTTATTTTGATACAAAAAGATTTTAATACATTTTTAGATGTTAAAAATATGGCTAAGTGTCAGTTCTGTGTTTTCTTACATCGGTACCTCGTTTCCTGCTGCCAAGTTTGAGCTATTTCTTCTAGTTTCAGTTTAAAAAAAATAAAAGTCTAAAATAAAACCTTTATATAAATATAACCTTTCTCAGTGGCCTAGTGGTAGAGTGTCCGCCCTGAGACTGGGAGATCAGGGGTTCGATTCCTGGTCGGGTCATACCAAAGACTTTGAAAAAATGGGACCCAATGCCTCCCTGCGTGACACTCAGCATTAAGGGGTTGGATTGGGGGGTTGAACCACCAAATAGTTCCCGAGCGCGGCTGTGTCTGTAGCTCACCGCTCCCCCAGGGGATGGGTCAAATGCGGAGAACAAATTTCGCACACACACCTGTGTGTGTGTGTGACACCTAATGGGACTTTAACTTTAACTTTAAAACTGTATCAAACGTACCTGATACAGGTTGGTTTGGAGATAAATGAGTATTTGTCTGCATTTGCATGTTGTGCACATGTCTTACCTCCAACACCTTTCCTGTAATGAACTGATGACACGCCTCACACTGGACTCCAAAATGGATCTGGTAGTCCTTTTCGCAGTAGGGGGCGCCATCCCTATGAGGAGAAAAATTTATTGAACCCGGCTGTTTATCAGGGTGCCCAGTCCTGGTCCTCAAGATCCCCATCCAGCATGTTTTAGTTGTTTCCCTGCTCCAACACACCTTATTCTGTGCTTTAGTCACCTGTTCAGCAGGTCGTAAAACTCTGCAGAAGTCCACCAATTACAACAAGCAAGGAGACCTCTAAAACGATGGATGGTGGTCCATGTGGACCAGGGTTGGACACCATTGATCTGATTATATTACTGAGTGTCGTAAACTTTATGTGAAGTTGAATACGACCAAACCGCTCACAGGAGCAGCAGCTTACTTGCTGATGTACTCTCCAGTCAGCACTTTGCTGCAGGCTTTACACTTAAAGCAGCCCAGATGCCACTGCCTGTCCAGCGCAAGAAGGGCCTGTCCGTTCTTTATGTCTCGGCCACATCCTGCACAGCCTAGGGGAGAAGAAACGTCACGGTTTAGCAGCAAATACCACGGCGTTTAAAGAAAGGTCAGTTCAGACCCTGGACACTAGATGGCGATAGAGCAATGCTCGATCTGTCCTCAGTCTGCACTAAAGGCCTCATCTGAGTGGGATCCTGAGGTTCTGTAAGAGCAAGATGTTGGTTTCTAAACAAACCTGCTACTTGTCATCTCTTGTTTAATAAAAGAGGGGGAAAGCAACACAAACCATGGGGGTGGGGTGGGCGGCACAGGGCTGTGGTAATGACATGAGCAGAATCAGCATGTCTTATTTATAGGTAACCTTGTCTAAAGACTCATCAGATGGCAACGAAGAAACCCGCAGGGAAGGGAGATGGGGTGCAATGCATTATTTATTACAGTCGGTCTTTTTTTGTGAAATCCACAAAGGAGATCTGTTCTTATGCCTGGTTTAAACCTGGTTACTACCTGCTTTACACCTGGTTACTACCTGGTTACCACCCTGTTTACACCTGGTTACTACCTGGTTACCACCCTGTTTACACCTGGTTACTACCTGATTTACACCCGGTTACCACCTGGTTGCCATCTGGTTTACACCCAGCTACTACCTGGTTACCACCTGGTTTACACCCGGTTACCACCCGGTTACCACCTGGTTTACATCCAGTTACTACCTGGTTACCACCCTGTTTACACCTGGTTACTACCTGATTTACACCCGGTTACCACCTGGTTACCATCTGGTTTACACCCAGTTACTACCTGGTTACCACCTGGTTTACACCCGGTTACCAACCGGTTACCACCTGGTTTACACCCAGTTACTACCTGGTTACCACCCTGATTACACCTGGTTACCACCTGGTGTAAACCCAGTTACCACTCAGTTTGCACTCAGGTTACCACTTGGTTACCACCTAGTTACCACCCGGTTTACACCTGGTTACCACCTGGTTACCATCTGGTTTACCCAGTTACTACCTGGTTACCACCTGGTTTACACCCGGTTACCACCCGGTTACCACCTGGTTTACACCCAGTTACTACCTGGTTACCACCCTGTTTACACCTGGTTACCACCTGGTGTAAACCCAGTTACCACTCAGTTTGCACTCGGGTTACCACTTGGTTACCACCTAGTTACCACCTGGTTTACACCTGGTTACCACCTGGTTACCATCTGGTTTACACCCGGTTACTACCTGGTTACCACCTGGTTTACACCCGGTTACCACCTGGTTTACACCCAGTTACTACCTGGTTACCACCCTATTTACACCTGGTTACCACCTGGTGTAAACCCAGTTACCACTCAGTTTGCACTCGGGTTATCACTTGGTTACCACCTAGTTACCACCCGGTTTACACCTGGTCACTATCTGGTTACCACTTGGTTACCACCTAGTTACCACCTGGTTTACACCTGGTTACCATCTGGTTTACACCCAATTACTTACTGGTTACCACCCTGTTTACACCTGGTTATTACCTGGTTTACACCCAGTTACTACCTGGTTACCACCTGGTTACCATCTGGTTTACACCCGGTTACTACCTGTTTACACCTGGTTACCACCTGGTGTAAACCCGGTTACCACTCAGTTTGCACTCGGGTTACCACTTGGTTACCACCTAGTTACCACCCGGTTTGCACCTGGTTACCACCTGGTTACTATCTGGTTTACACCTGGTTAACTCCCAGTTTACAGCTGTTACCACCTAGCTGGTTGGTTAAAAATAGTTTTTTTTACATTTGGTTCTGTTAGCAAAGTTCTGATGAAAGGGCTGGCACAGCTTCCATCTCCTTCTCCACAAAGGATCCTGTGCATTTTTACAGGAGGTTATAATGTTTTTGCCTTGTTCCTGCAAAATCCCTCATGAACCGCTGAATGGATTTTAATGAAACTCAGATATTCATCTGTAGGTGTATATCTGCTTCTAATTAACTTTTGGAGTAAATCCAATTCAAAATGGCCACCACAGCCAGTAAATCTTGGAAAAGTGAAATTAATAATAATAATTATTATTATTATTATAATAAAATATATAATATACCTACAGATAAACAATAACAAACACAGGTGTGGAGCTAAAATTAGGTGTGTAGTTCAGATTTCTCTCTGTGCCACACTTTGAGAGCTAACAAATAACAGTTGAAGCATAAATCATGAAAGGATTTAAACATAACCTTTTAATGTCCAAACCAAGTGAAGAATGCAATGGGAAATGTTTTTTGTGCATTTCTTTTGTTCATTTGGGATGTTCCAATTTAATGTAAGACAGTGTCCACGGAGGACAAGAGACTAAAATGTCCTCTGCCAGTGGTAGGTCTTTAAATGCTAACAGATATGTTATTATTTTTAACAGATTTAAATTTTAAAAGCTAATTTAGAGGTGTAACACTAGATCCTGATGTGCAACCAGCTGATGTAAAAAAGATAAAAAAAAAACAGCTAATTAAATTGCTATGAGTCATGAGAAGAGACCGCATCACACTATTGCCGGGTCCATTTCTTCTTCTGTGGTGCTGAACAGATAACGGATCTAATTCCATCTTTTAGTTCTTTTTGAAACACAGAACGGTTTTATTTACCTGCAATGTTTCGTTTGCGGCTGCAAACTTCGTCTGGCTGAGATTGAATTAGAATTTCAACACAGCAAGAACACACCAAAGATGTTTAAAGATAACGGATCTCCTGAAGCCCACATGGGCCAACATGAATAATTTAATCACATCTGTGTGCGTCTGACTGCCTGGAACCACTCAAACCACATTACCCTCAAAGAGGCATTTTAATTTGTGAACCCGTTGGGATTAATCCCACTTAACTAAACCGAGCTGAGCAGTTAACCATGATGGAAGAATCCAGGCTTGACCCGATCAAAAACTCAGCCACCATGAATCTCTCACACATTTTTGGGAAATGTCGGAACACTTTAAAAACACGTATTTTCCGTTCTTTCCAGTCCGCTGCAGCATTTTGTGAATTTGGCTTCCTTCCTGTGCTTTGTATGTGCACACAATAGCCACTTACTGCTGGAGCCCAGCACGTCCTTTGGTCCTGGAGACATGGGCTCGACGCAGTACTGACACAGACAGTCCTTCCCGTTGAAGGTCACCCTGTCACCAGCGGGGAACGGTCGTCTGAAAGAGACAGCCAACAGGACAGCGTGAGTTGTCGCCCCCTTGGCAAATGCTGCGGTTCATTAGTTGAGGGTTGCAGGTTATCTGATGGGGCTGAAGATGACGAGGCCCTGTGACGAAGACGTGTGTCAACGCTGTCAGCCTGAAGATCGTTACTCAGGAATGACATGCAACGTTCTACTGTAAGTTGTCAACTAGAAGTCCATCTCGACATCCGCCCGCGACCATTAATATGATGCAAATATTTTCACACATGAGAAAAAGAGCTGTTAAAAGGAGTTCAGATGTCTTAGATGGGCTCTAGCGGAACATTTACCTGTTTTAGACCTTGTTGAATAAGCTCAGTTTGAAGAAATGGACATTCTCAGTGATCGAACAAACCAGCTAAAGACTAGTAACGACTGAGTCAGTTAGGGTTAGTGTTTTAAACCATTTCCAAGCCGAAAAATGAATTTCAGTCAATGCAGATGTTATATAACATGGTTACTTGGGTAATATTATTGTGAAATTCCAGCCAGAAGGACTACAGGAACTGGTGTTGCAGCAAATATCCACAGAATTCTGAAGGTAAAAAGGCATGGAAGGGCTTTTGCAGTTTAAAAGATTTAAAAATGGTTTTTACTCGAAATAATTGGTCTTTGATGTCTGAGTTGTTTTATCAGAGGGAAAAAAACTCAGACTAGCCGTTAGCTCATCAATCTGGTTGAAGCGTTTTACATAACATGGGTCATAAACACAGCTATCTACAAAGGTAATATAATTATTAAAGCATTTCCATTAAAAGTTACATTTAAAAAATCCAAACTACAGCTGTGCTATTTATCCAAACTGCAATATCACTGTGTGAAATATCAAAGCTAAAAAGAAATGCATGAATTCAATAAAAATAATAAAAAATTTGTGACGTGATTTGCTTTTGCATGCCAATCTGACACCACAGGCCTTTTGCTGCTAAACCTGTTTGTCCCCCAGTTAGGGGACGCCCTGGCTCGAAGGGTTAAATGACATTAGCCAAAATGCTGTAACACACAGAAAACCAATGATGACAGAACACAAACTGAGGAGTAAGGAGAAATGTTTATAATGGTTATCTGAACTTTTCTGTGAGGCATGCATAAGAGGCTAAAAGTGTGTCCCAGTAGGTCTGTCAATTCCACAATCAACAAACAGAATTTTACAGGAGACTTTTGCAGTACATTACAAAACAGCGGGAAGGCAGCAACTGCCATCTAAAGGTTGGTTTAGGCTTGACAAATTTGCGAGGTCCGCACGGCTCCGTGCGGCCAAATTACATCATTTCAGCAACCACGCCCCTCCGCGCGGCCCAAAGTGTCCGCACTGCGCACCTAGGAATTTTTCTAACCACGCAGAGGGTGAGGTTAGCTCGTAGCGGTGGAGGTTCCTAAGTTCAGACATCTTTATGATTCGGTCTATAAAGATCACCGAGGTCAAAATATTGTTAATTGTTGTTACAGCCAAAAAGACAAGGACACAGTGAAAAAATGTCGTCAACAACAGTGATTTCTACTTCTATGGTGTAGTGCTGGATGCTTGTCGTAGAGCCCTGTGCTGCCCCCTACAGTCTGGGAGGATACTGGCTCACAGCGGAGACGAGCCGCAGAGGGTAGGGAGGAACCATGAACGTTCAGACGTGCTCCATTTTTACCAAAAGGTCAAATTAGTTTCTTATTGTTGCATTTATATGCAGCATGTTTAAAATATTAATAAACTACTTGCTGTTCTTGGGAAAAGTTTATTTAAAAGTATTTCAACCATATCTAACTCAGTTGCACTTTGTAACAGTCAAACAGAGCTTTTTCTCCTGCTGCTGCTTTTGCTGATGACACAGGTGTAACGTCACGAATGGCCTGATTTTAAGACTCACAGGTCAGATACACAGCCTGGGTCACCTTGCCCTGGCTACTACTCCAATCTGCAATAGAGTCCTTCACAGCAGACTTATAAAGCTTGGTTTATGCTTGACGCATTCACTTTCCGCGCTGTGATGCGGCTCGCGGCTGGAACACGCTTCACAACTCGCAGCATTTTATGGTTCGTGCGGCTCGTCTCTGCGGTGAGCCAATATTCTCCCATACTGTAGGGGGCAGCATGGAGCTCTACGGCATGCATCCAACACTACACCGTAGTAGAAGTAGAAATTACTGTTTACAACATGGCTTTCCAGCATTTTTAACAGCGTCCTCGTCTTTTCCGACAGTGCGAGCTATTTCTCTCCAAGAATTATTAACAGCATGTTGATCACGGTGATCTCTGAGAGCTGAATCATACAAATGTCTGTATTTACGAACCTCTGCCATACTAGTTCTTGCCGGTCCGCCATGTTTTTCCGCGTCCGTCCGTCCGCGTGGTTAGAAATTTTCCGAGGTGCACGTTGCGGAAATCTTGGGCCGTGCGGAGACGGGGTGGAGGGGCGTGGTTGTTAAAATGACGCAAAATGACGCAACTTCTCCGCTCTGAGCCATGCGGACCTCGCGGACGCGTCAAGCATAAACCAACCTTTACAGTCGTGCGACCACTCCTGTAATTTAGGGGTAATTTATATATCCATACATAAATATATATATACTATATATATATATATATATATATATATATATATATATATGCACATATATATACATTTATATATATATATATATATATGTATGTGTATATATATGCACACACACACACACACACACACACACACATATATATATATATATATATATATATATATATATATATATATATATATATATATATATATATATACTGTATATGTACATTTCATTTGTCAATATGTTTGGTCACCTTAGGAATTAAAACATAAGCTGATAACAACAGCCTTTAATTCCTAGATATGTAGTTCATTAACCCTACACAGTGTTATATCTGATAGATGCAGGCAGCATACTGGGACCATTATTTCAATTTCAGGTGATTCGATCACTTTAATAAAGTCAAAATACAACCCAGAACACATTTGTGCTTTCTTTGAGACTGTGACAGTAGTGGTGGTTCAGCAGATGCCTTACTTGCATACGGTGCAGACGAAGCAGGCTGGGTGGTAGGTCTTGCCCAGGGCAGTGACAACTTCTCCCTCAACGAAATCCCCGCAGCCATTGCAGCGGGTGCCGTGCATCCGTTGGTAATCCAGCATGCACAGATACTCTCCATTCTTCATGAAGAAGCCTCCCTGGGCGAGGTCGCAGCCGCACACTGTTCAGAACTCACATTTAATTTGTTTCATCACACAAACACCAAATACCTCATGCCTCTTTGCCGAGAAAATGGTCATAAGATTTAACAGCTGTGTGTGGCGTTAAGGTGCGATGTGCACAACTTAAAACCAAAATACATCAACATGACTAGTGTTTAGGATGTCACTGGACAGGTTGACCTTAGATTTAAGCTCAGGAAACAGCCTGGATCTGTTTTTCTAAGATAACTCTGATTTAATACACAATGAAGAACTAATTTCCTTCAATTCAAACATAACGTTGTCATCTGTATAAACACGGAAATCTGGAAGCCAGTGCTTTTCATAAGCATTTAAAGAACGTGTAACAGAGAATTGTTTTCAAGGCCTTTGACTCCGTCTGACCTCAAACCTCATTTTTTAGTAGTAGGCTGATAATTCGGCTGATATTTGCCACTATTTAAATAATCGTTTATCAGCCATGACATCACATACTTAGTTGAATAAAAAGCAGACAACAGAAGACGCAGCAGATGTTACAGTGACCTCCCGAAGTCTAGATTTAAAGCCTAGATCAAGTTCTGAAGCAGCAGCGACAAACAAAGATCAGCATTGTCTGAAGACAAACGGTTTGGCCTGATATTAACTAAAAATGACCAAATGATGCATGTTTGAGAGTTGTACGTGCCAATAATTAATCCTAAATGGCCGGGACCGGTACTGAGGACAAAACTAATTAGGATTTTTGATTTCAGTACAAATCCATAACCAGCGTTAAATGCAGCTTTTCCACATCTAATCCTGCTCCTCAAAACCACAATTAACCTAAACCTATGATTAAGAATATTTCATAGAAACTCTATATACATTCAGTTTATATTTCCGGCAGCTCCGGATGAATTTCCAAATTTAATGGCTTCATAAAAATGCCGCAGTGAAGAGATGAAACGTTTCGATATTGGAGGCGTCGGGAGTGCATGATTCGTATGCAACGAGCCGGGTAAATCTTGGAGTTGAATGAAGAGAGTGAAGAAAAAAAATCAGATTTAATTGCATTAAGAATCAGCGATGATGAGATTTGCCTCTGAGCCAATAGAAAACCAGCTCTGGAGATTAGGTGGCGCCTGACTCAGACGTCCAGCCACATCCGCTCTGTCATCATCTAAACAATAAATTAGATCGCGAGAGTCAAATGAAGTCATTTCAGGAGGGATTTAACATGTATGCATTCATGTGAGGAGAAAAATAAATATGTCAAAAGATCATATTTGAGGGAAGGCGTCAGTTTAAGACTGGTCAGCCTCGTGAAATAAAATCTGAAGCAAGAGCAGGGTTGATGTAATTAAGCAGGCTTCACGATGCTCGTGGCATTCAGCGAAGAGCTAGAGCTGGTGCTAATCTCAGGGGTGGGCGGTTATTCTGAGCTCTTAGTGAAACAAAGCAAAACCCGAAATACTCGAATGCAGACGTTCATCAGAGCAAAGATCAAAGAGAAGCTTTTAGACGAGGAGCAGCGCGGTGCAGCGATTCCACGGTTTCACTAAATATCTGAGATCTAAAAACACAATTCTAAATCAGGCAAAGACAACCCGAGCTAAGACTATAGACCCTTTTACTACCTACGTCATCAAAAGTTGCGCGCGCAGCCTGGCAACGAGAGTGAAGGCTTCCTCATTCACACTCAATACTTAAACAGCGTTTTAAACCCTTTGTTTTGAAGTTCTGAGCACATAAAAATGTCGGGTTGTTGCGTGTACGGATGCCAGAGTCGCTTCTCTTCAAGCAGTGGACTGAAACTTTACAGAATTCCGAAGGGAGCGCATCCATTTCAACAAAATCGGAGGCGTCTGTGGCTGCAGGCCATCGAAAGGGTTGATGAAAACTGGACTGAAAACACGATCCGAAATGCTCGAGTTTGTAGCGCCCATTTTATATCAGGTAAGGTAATTATGTACTAAGATTACACCAGAAAGCTGGTTAACGTGTGTTCTATTAAATAAAGTAAGTTGCGTTTGCTGGTTTGCAAATGAAATTAACATTTCATTCTAGTTCATCTGTATTTTCCCACTGCATATTAGTATAAACTGTATTTCTCTAAAAATTAACACGATTGTACTCTGAGCACGCTAAAGAAAGAAACCTATGCTGTACTCACCCTGCCATGCAGGTACGTAGTTCTCTGGTTTGTTTACTATGACCCAAGCCTCGTACGTAGCAGTCTTGTGTCCTTGTCTTTGGCTAGGAAGGACTTCTGCCTTCAAGACGCAAAACTCAGAGTCTATGTCGTGATGTTTTACTTTCTGTACGTGGCCACAGACAACATAGTTGTATGCATCTAACGATTTGTATGCCCGTAGCTTCTCACGTGTGTACTTACTGGGTCTCTCCACTAAAAACGTATACATATCGGGCCACTGGATATCTGGCCACGCACCTACATCTTCCACCCATTCCGTAATGCCACAGGGATCCGGGAGTCTGTTGCCATTCGTTAAAGTGAGTTTAATAATATAACATTCAAGATTTGCCGGTGATAACCCCGCAGCGTAGCTTGATAAAGCCTGACACAACGCTGTTCTCTGTTGCCAAGCTGCGCGCGCATTCTCGCTGACGTCATGTTGTTTACAAACAGTAAAAGGGTCTATACAAGGCTTTAAAAATGTCCTTTATGAAGCAAGTGATTCATCGAACACCCAGACCAGATCACTACCAGAACAGCAGAGTTAAGAAGTTACTTCGATAGAACTTCGCTGACAACGTGGAGTTGACTAGAAGATCTCAAAAAGCAACATGTCATGCCTCTTTCTGAAGGGATTCATGAACAAAAGAACCAAAAACAACATCTAAAGCCCTGCAGGTCTTGGTCTGGCAAGGTGAGGGTCAAAGGTCATGATTCAGTAATAAAGAGATGAGGTAAAAATGGAGTCATGGGAGACATCCCAGGCCAGAGCTGTCGCTTACCAAAGACAACACAAATGGTAAATGGCCTGTATTTGATATAGCGCCTTCTAGAGTCCTGGAACCCCCCAAGGTGCTTTACAACACAATCAGTCATTCACCCATTCACACACACATTCACACACTGGTGGGGATGAGCTACGATGTAGCCACAGCTGCCCTGGGGCGCACTGACAGAGGCGAGGCTGCAGAGCACTGGCGCCACCGGTCCCTCCGACCACCACCAGCAGGCAAGGTGGGTTAAGTGTCTTGCCCAAGGACACAACGACAGCGACAGTCTGAGCGGGGCTCGAACCTGCAACCTTCCGATTACGGGGCGAGCGCTTAACTCCTGTGCCACCATCGCCCACACATTTCGGCTCACATTTTCTAAAAAGCATCTTGACTTGAGTTCCAGGAACGTTCTGAAAGGTGTGCGTCCCGTTCCATCTGGAGTCAAACTAACACCAAAATATCGCCATAGCAACAGTCAGACACGGTGGTGGTAGTGTTATGGTCTGGGGCTGCTCTGCTGCTTCGGGACCTCTAACCACTTCCTGATGGAGCCATGAATTCTGCTCTCTGGCAGAAATCCTGAAGAACATCATCTGACCTTTGACCTTAAACAGGTCATTCAGGCTGGAAACCCCTCTAAAGTAGCTGAATTCAAACTATTCTACATTTCTGCAGAGCCAGATCAGTTTGTATAACCATTAATGAATGAAACCATCATTTAAAGCTTTACTCAGGTCGTCTCGGTCCGATATTATAATTCGTTTTCTGATCTGAAACATTTTAGTGACACAAACAGCAAAAACAAGAAATCTTTGAGAACTGTGAAATTGGCTGCTGCTCAGACTTTGTTACACTTTAGATGAGCCATGGAAAACAAAAACAACACATAAAGGAAATGGAGCAAAAGAACTATGATATTTATTAAAAACACAACCGCTGTTTATTTTTGGCCTGAATGAAAAGGAACGAATGTGCTACCATTGCAGCAACATCACATTAGCAATGAATTTTAAAGCCTCACACTTCAGCGGCAAATGTTCACACAACTCCCACATTTTAAGAGATGTCCAAGCTGTCTGCAGGTTCATGTTTAAACTGTAAACACATCACTTATTCATCAGTCAGCATCGGTTACATTACTTATCTAAAAAAAATAGGATAAACTAAATATTTGAGCTCAAAAAAGGCCCACTCCCTAGTTTTTTATGCATTGTGGTGCAGGGTGTGTTTTAATAATGAGTCTTATTTTTAGACACGGGGGTAACGTACCTTTACAGGTGAAGCATTTAAGGTGGAAGTGCTTGTTCTGCACCCGGAGCACCTCGCCCTTACATGGCTCCTTACACTTGTAGCACTGGATCAGGGGCTTCTCGTTCGAGTGTTGGTGTGCGTCCTGTGTGTGAGCCACTGCGGGACAGAAGAAGTCAGTTATTGGTGCTGAACGCCAACGTTGACGTTCTTCTGAGAAAAACTTAAATCTGCTGCAGATGAAAACCCAGCTGCTCTGAATCCGTCATGATAAAAAAAAAAACGAGCGAGACACAGAGCAACTTGGGGTTCGTTCACGGCCAGACGGGCTCTCCAGAGACAAACTAAATATAGCCGGTCTTGATCAGCAGAGGACAGTCAAACTGCAAAGGAAAGCTTAGGAAATCACACCAAAAAAGGATATAGATACAATCTTTTATTCTTAAAGAAACACACATTTTAGAGTTAAATCTTATTCACGCTTAGTTTGTCTTCCCTGTGTTGAATTTGTTGACATTTGTCCGGTTAAAAATGGAAATGGAAAAAACCACAAAGCTATGTCATAATTTGGCTCATTAAGATTTCCAATCCTCCTTTTTACAGTAAATAAATGGTGCTTAGCTCAAGTATGAAGATATTACAATATGATATGTCAGACTTTATGGAAACTATACAAAAATTATATAAAATGAGTTAAATATCTTCTGGGGAACATAGTTTCTGTAAGACAAGACAAAGAGTAAGACTGAAAGATGAAAATGACAAAGGCTAAAGGTATGCTAATGCTACTATGCTAACATTAGAAACTAACTAAAAGAACTTGCAAATTGTTTGGTCAAATCCACACTTATAGAAGGAGGTGGAGTGTACAGTCGGTAAAGACGGCTCTCCCTTGCCCCACCTCCAACATGCCTACATCTAAATAGGCTAGGTTATCCAGAGTTATCTCTGTAGTTATGCTGCTATAGGCTTAGACTGCTGGAGGATACACTGGCCACTTTTCACACTCTACTGCTTTCTTCTACAATCTGCTCTTTAACTGTATTATTTCCTGCTATTTCAGCTGTTAACTTTATTTTCTCTAAGTGTTTTTCTCCCCAGAAGAAGCTACAACGATGTTCTGCTGAGCTGTGGTGGCCTCATGGAGGGGGCCATCGGCTAGCACACTGCTGCTAACCACTTAAACATTCTCCCTCTCCTGATAATAACTATTTACTTTCCTTGACGTTGGATGTGCTACTGCTAGTTTATCCATTTCATTATAGATTCAGTAGAATAAATACAATAAAGTTTATCTTTCACCAAATAGAATATTTACTAAGAAATCACAATGTAACGTGTGCGTGCGTGTGTGTGTGTGTGTAAAGCAGATTTCATCCTAAAATTCAATTCAAAGATACTTTATTAATCCCAGAGGGAAATTAGAGTTTCAGTACACACAATTCAGAGATCAGACAGGGGCAAGACACGTGACAAGAATTGGTGCCTGTGGTCATTCGCAACCCGAGTCGCGCTACCTCAATAGAGATAAGAGGGTTACATGAGGATTGGCTCAGGTGGAGGGAAAAAAAGGCCCTTCAGAGTTACCCTCCACCGGGAGGGCAGCTTTGCTCTGCAAAAAAAAAAAAAAAAAAAGGCTCAAATCTTCAAAATTTGTGCACTGGGTGGCAGTTTGTTTACAACAAATTCAATGGTTATTTACAAGTGTGAATGCGACAACAAAATATAGCACTTTAAAGGTGTGGTCGACTGAAAAAACATTTTTAATGATTATTTTTAAAGATAAATCAGTCACACTGAGTTTTTCATGGAGGCTGAACATGAAAATAGTCTCCTACACCTATCTCCTGCATTAGCTTCTGATAGAAAACAGACGGTGAAACTAAAGGATCAGAAAAGCCTGACAGATCTACATCACACTGTCACTAAACACTCATGGACTCACCCATCTTGATTCACGACGGGGAAGGCTGTTGTTGGTTTAGTGTCCGGGAAACAGTAGAGAACATCTTCGGCTAGTAGAAGCTAACCGTTAGCATTAGCAACTCCACCACACAGCCAAACTACTCCAGGCTTGTGTTAGGCTAACCCGTGTTGAGCTAAAGCATCAATGTTGCTAAGTAAACCGAGTCAGCGGTAGAGCCAAATTGCTGTAAACCAATCAGAGTTCAGATGTCCAAATATCAGGAAGAAAGACTCCAAATCCTGCTGTCTGAAGCTCCTTTCTCCTCTGATCTGGCAGTCTTTTAGATCAGTGGTTCCCAAACTTATTTAGCCGTGCACCCCCTTCTATGTCCCGACCATGTCGACGAACCCCCCAGCCCCACTTCAGGGCATGGCTATACATATATATATATATATATATATGTATATGTATATATATATATATATATATATATACATACATACATATATATATACATACATACATATATATATACATATACATACATATATATATATACACATATACATACATACATATATATATTTACACATATACATACATACATATATATATACACATATACATACATACATACATACATACACACATATATATATATATATATATATATATATATATATATATATATATATGTATATCAGACGTCACGCTGAACTGTCACTCGACAGACAGGGTTAAAAAATATGATCGACCTTTTTCCCCATCACTTTCATTTTAGTAATTAATAAACATTCAATACATTAAAATTTCCTTTGATTTAATATTAAATAAATATTTAGAGTGCCCAGGTAGCACATAAACAATGCAATTTAACGGTTTTCTTAAAGCAGGAACGTTTAACCTGTGACCAGAGCTCTCTCCTTCCTTCTGCTCTGCGTAAACCTGAACTGGTCACCTACTTGTGCGTAATCAAATGTCTAAAGGGGAAAAGATGGAAAAGCTATAGCCACGAGGTTCACTTTTGCCTCAGACCGACTTATTGCCGTTTTATGGTGTGGCTGAATCTGCGATCTGCTGCCACGCGGACTGGAATAACAAATGCTGCAGTAACATGAGTTGTAGTCAGGTTCATGAGGAGTCACTGGCTCGATTTTAATACGTCATCCCAAAATAGAAGCTAATATCTTTATTTGACCTGGAATGAAAAATGTTATAAAACCTCTTAAAAGTTTTTATCACAGAAGAGGCAGCGCTCATTTCTGCCTTCAGTCTGACGGCGCGGCGCAGCGTACGCTTGTTGAATCAGTGTGTGTGTGTGTGTGTGTGTGTGTGTGTGTGTGTGTGTGTGTGTGTGTGTGTGTGTGTGTGTGTGTGGCACAGCTCCATTAGCCACTTCAGTCACCGCGTCTCGTTATCGGCGCTATTTAAACCAATGTTGTAAAATTACTTCTGCCCAGCCCAGATGTGCTCACTTGTGCACCCGTGAGCCGTGGTTCCCCTGGAACGCGTCTGACCTCTGACAGACGCACTCTGAACTTCAGATCTTCAGCGCGCTGTTAACAGCCTGACACGTTTAGAATGCTGTCCCACAGTCAGTGTGCTACTATAATAATATAATAATGCTAAAATGCTCAGATGGGAATAATTTCTTGATTTATTTTGTTACATCCACAATGTTCTGTGTGTGAGGTTTACAATGTCAGAACACCTGCATGAGACAGGTGTTAATTACAATCTGCCAGAATGACTCGCCACCTTCAGATTCCTCCAACACCGTTAAAAATGATCAAATACGGAACATATCGGCGTGCGCAGGCCAGAGTGCTGAAGCTCGGAGCGCATTATTATTATGAAGCTAGGGCACATGCGGAGGACACACACACACACACACACTAAATATACTTGTTTTCAATTGCATTTATTGGGCCCACTTACTTTTTCTTAGGCCCACCCACAAATGAGTGTCATGGAACAGACGGCTTTGCCCATAATGGGCTCGACACACGGGAGGCGACAAACGACCGCGATCAGCGAAATTTGTCGCTGTCGCTTTTATTACCTGTCACACGGGAGGCGATCTGAGGCAGCGGCCAGCGGCAAAGCCGCCTACGCGTTCTGTTCCATGGCGAAATTGAAACTTCCGTTGTTTTGATTGGCTGTGTCAGGTTGGAGGGAATTAAGGTTATTTAAGCGGTTCAGAGTTAAAACAGCGGTAGATATGATGTTTCACAAGGTGCTGCTAGAGTTATGTGAAATCTTACTTCTGATTTTACTATAAAACATAATAATAATCAACTTCTCCTCCATGTTTGCTCGGAGATGTGCGGAGCATCCTGTCCGCTCATTGGTCAGTGAATGAAACCTCCGTTGATTGGTCCTCGTCCGAGCGACAGCGACGAAAAGTTGAAAATATTTCAACTTTCTGGGATCGCGTCGCTGGGTCGTCCGTGCACGACACGTGCACGAGTGCAAACTTTCACACGCACGTTTTTCGCGTTTCGCTTGGTAGGAGGGAGACCCGCGATTATCGCTTTGTCGCGCATGTCTCATTGAAAATGAATGGAGGAGAGGCGATGTCGCCTCCCGTGTGTCGAGCCCATAGGCGTCATTTTAACCGGAGACGCCAGGGACATGTCCCCGGCGAAATTTGTGATTGGCAGCTGTGTCCCCCTCACTTTCAAAAAAGCCTGCCTTTATTGTCCCCAGCAATTTTTAAACCCCACTCAAGTGTATGGTTATTGTCCCCAGCAATTCTGAAAACAAACTGACGCCCTTGGTCGAGCCCATTAGTCAACAGAAAAGCGATGCCGTGGAAGCTGGGGACACATCTCATAACAGCTGTTCGCTCCAAACAGAAGGACCAAAACAAAAGTTTTCCTAAACGAGGGGAAAAGGCGGAAATGATTCAAACATGAAACCAACAGATCTAGAATTTTTTTTATTAATCCAGGTGTTCTGCACTCTTTATAACGGCATTTACAGTAAAGGAAAACCTCTGTGTGAGCATAGATGGATGGAGAGAGCAGATCAGAGTTACGGTGAGCTGAAGAGAAGAGGTTGGCGTAGCAGCTACACATTTAACACCAAGTTTACAGCAGGACCATTTTCCTTTGGGGGGGAAACAACTATCCAGTTGGTTTTGCTGTTGCAAAGAAAATACGTGTCGACTTGTTTTCATCCATCCTCCTACAGAGGCCCAAACCAACCTTTTCCCAGCGGTCTCCACCAGCTCCATCAAGAAACCACCTCA